TCACTTCGGAGTTCTTCAGTAAGACGGGCAACATCACAGATGGCTTTCTTGCATTTATCTTCTGATGATCTGAGTTCTGTGTGTAACTCATCAATATCAGCGGTCATGGCAGCAATATCACATTCAAGCTTCCTCTTCTGGCTATTTATAGAATTGAATTGGGCTGTCATCTCACTGATTCTGATGTGGATGTCGGTGACTTCAACTTCGACAGTCTTTCGTGATCGTTCTGATTGCTCAAGAGAAGTTCTGAGTTCTTCAACCTCACAGCTGATGACACCACAACGTCTTTCAGCCATGTTGTAAGCTTCTCTTGCTTCTTCCTTTTGACGTCTTTCATCTTCAATCATGGTTTGGATTTCCTAAAAAAATCAGATCATTTTATAAGCATGGTTGGGTTTATATGCTTTGAAGGAAAACCTCACAAGAGGTACTGTAGCAGTTGAATTATGATATTATAATGAAGCAAGATATGGACCTTGTAGAAACTCGTGAACATTGTCTGATAATGTTTATTAAAGTATTTTGATACTTACAGTGATTTGAAGCTGGAATTTCTTGGTAGTTTTCTCAGCTTCAACTCGATTCCTGTTAGCAGCATCCAAAGCGATTTCCAATTCGTTGATGTCATGTTCCAATTTCTTTCTGATTCTCATTGCTTCAGTCTTGTTCTTGATTTCAATTTCAAGAGAAGCTTGCATGGATTCAATGGCTCGTTGATGGTTTCGTCTGAAAATTCATGGAAAATACTTACACGTTCTATACATTTTCGTTGTTTACAGATGGGGGGCATTAGTTCCAAGTATGTGGATGTATAGTAATCTACTCAACACTCTAGTTTACATTGGATGGCCTATTAAGTTTGCTTGTGCCCGTTTAAAACAAATACAATTGCCATTGTTAACATTTGCTTATTTGTGGTGGTTAATCATGTTGTGTAGCGTTATAATCTATAGAATATCATTTTGGAATGTTTTAAAAGGTTATTTCGACATACCTGGTGTTTTCGAACTCTTCGTCCTTTTCGTGGACTCGTCTGTCAACCTCTTGTCGAACCTGGGAGATTTCAAGTTGTAGTCTCATAACCTTGGCTTCTTCTTGTTCAAGGGTAGCATGAGCTTCTTCAAGAGCAGATTGGAGTTCTTCCTTCTCTAATTCAACACGTCTTCTGATTTTCTCAATTTCATGTACACTTCTACCTCCCTCACTGAGTTGATCAGTCAGTTCACGGATTTCATCTGGAAGATAGTCAACGCAATCATCAGACACAATTTCAATAAACTGAATGTGACTGTTTTGGTCATTGGGTATTTGAATATTTATCCACAACAGTAAGACAAGAATTATGCAATAATGTCAAAAGGGCAATATTTGGTCAAGTCTTGCTATGTGAGCTAAATGAGCTTTCCACTGAGCTAACCACCGAGCTAAGCTCACATGTTAGCTTTAACCATCTCCCTAATCTTCTTTATCATTACTTACCAGCTAAATGCTTGTTTTCACGTCTCAAAGACTCCATACGTTCAACAGATTCAACATCCTTAGCTTTAACCCTGAAGAGTTCAGCAGATAAAGCTCTTGATTCTCTTTGGACGGTTTCGATTTCGAGCTGTAACTCGCTGAATTTAGTCTGCCATTCCGAGGTTGTCTTATCAAATGATCGTTGTTTCTTTTCTAAAATGTTGGCGGTAGTGCTGGTCTGAAATTGGAAAGTAAAGTTTAAGATTTGTAAACAAATGAAAGGCCTTTCAAATATCAAAGGATCAAAGGAGTACAAGTACTCAACTACTGTAAGGTTGTATCTTCGGAATTTATAAACCCCGAACATCAATCACAAGATCAGTTAGTTTTCTTGTGCATCTGCTAAGTGGGAATCAACTTATCAATATGCTTTCAATCGAAAGGCAATACTCACTCTTTCGACTTCAATCATCATATCCTCATTCTCAGTTTGTAATCGGCATTTGACTTTTTCAAGATTATTGATCTTGATATTGGCAGCTTCCAAGTTTTGTTCAGCATCAGCAAGTTTAGCTTGAAGTTTTCGTCTGGAAGCGAATGGAAATATGTTCAAAATATCTTTTGTTATAAAGGTAAAAAACGGAATCTCTCCAATACTACACATGTATCAGTCAGGGGCGTATCTAGAAAATTCATGAAGAGGAGGCCATCCGCCTAAATACAGTATTATGTGGCGAATGTCCGTTGGTTAACAACAAAATGTATTCGAAGCGACGTTTGAGACTGTAGACCACTTGATTTGGATTAAGTTGAATATCAATTTTCGTTGTCTAGAAAAGACACATTCAAAAGAAAAAGCATGACTTACTTAGCTTCTTCAAGTTCTTCCATTCTTGAGAGACCTTCACTTTCGTATTTAGACTTCCAGCTTTGTGCCTCAGAGTTGGCTTTGGATAGTTGTCTCTGCATGGCACATTTGGTGTCTTGTTCTTCTTCGATTTGATCTCGTAGAGAATCGATATCAGTGGTGAGGTTTCGGACTTCGCTCTGGAGTTTCTGTCGGATTCTGGTTTCTTCCTCCAAACATCTTTTGGTTTCTTCAAATTGAGATTGGATGGTGTTCTTCTCTTTAATGATAATGCTTACTTTGTGTTCAGTTTCTTCAAGAGTTCTGGTGATTTCACTGACCTCCATCTGGAGCTTAGACTTGCTTGACTGGAGATCGCTGACGATACGAGTGCTTTCTTCAAGTTTGAAGTGGAACTCGGAAATTTGGTTTTCAACCTGTTTGGTCATCTTTTCGGACATACCCTACAAATTATAGAAATTTCTGATGAATTTGTGATGATGTCTTAATATAATAAAACCTATACTGATATTTTTCGTCACCACATTTAAATATTTGCGCTGACTTGACAAAATTTGCCAAGGATGCTATTTTAGATTTGCTGAAGATGCTATTTTATTTTTGCTGAGAATGCTATTTTACTTTTGCTGAGAATGCTATTTTACTTTTGCTGAGAATGCTATTTTACTTTTGCTGAGAATGTTATTTTACTTTTGCTGAATTTGACTAGCTTACCTTGTTCTTACTGGCGTGTTGTAATTGAGCAGCAAGTTCCTCAGCTTCGGATCTAGCATGGTTTCTTTCCTTCTCTAATCTAAAAGAACAATTAAGATGTTAATGCTGACACTCGACCATAGTCACTGTTAAATATTATCTGAGTTTCCTATTTGTCATTTGCGGGACAGACCTAGATAAGCGGATGTCTTCATCAGGCCCATAGCTACAAGAGACAAGGGAGACTTCAATGAAAAGATTTGTACTTACTTGCTCTTGATCTTCATCAGTTGATCAATTTCATCGGACATCTCATTTGCAGATTCTTGCTGTTTCTTACGGAAACTGGCAATTTGGGCATCATGATGTAACTGATTCTCTTCCAATTCTCGTCTGAGTTTCAGTAATTCAAGTTCTCGTTTCTTGTTGATGTCAATCTGGGCAGATGTAGCACCACCAGCTTCATCCAAACGATCACTGATATCTTCGAGTTCGTGGGAAAGTTCATTTCGTTGTTTTTCAACCTTAGATCGAGCTTGTTTCTCAGAAGCAAGTTCCTCTTCAAGCTCTTCAATAATGGCCTAAAATCAGATCAATGGAATTGTGGATTTATCAATTCATAGAAATAGTAATACTGAATATTAAGTTATCAAGTTTATTATGAATGCTGCATTTTGAATATGATCTGGATATAATTTCCTATTCCTGAAAGTCACCAACCAGTCGTTCAGGAAATTTTTGGTTAACCAGTACCATTTGCTTACACCTGAATGCTTATTTTCTCGTCTCAAAGGCTGTAGACTCAAAATCATTGGAGTTCAGCAGATAAAGCCCTCGATTCTCTTTGATGGTTTCGATTTAAAATGCAAAGGTTTTATTATACCCTTCTTTTGACTACTTACCTGAAGTTCCTTGATTTTCTTCTGAAGTGAAGCAACAAGACCTTGTTCATCTTCAACACGGGAGTTGAGTGAGTTGATCTCAGCATCCTTCTTTCTCATGGTTTCTTCAAGTTCTCTTTTGATTCTCTCTAAATCTTCAACTGATTCCTGAGTCATCTTCAAATCTTGTTCTAACTTCCTCTTAACTTTCTCAACATCTCCTCTAATCTTCTTTTCTCTTTCCAAATTATTCTCAAACTGAAATTAGAAGAGGTTTATGATACATACTCACAGTATCGTAATCGGAGTCATAGCAACATTCGAAATCGATGCGCACAAAAGAAAATGAAAAATGGAAATATACGTAACGGTCAAATCGATCTGAATCTGAAAAGCTTCAAAGTTACCGATGATGAACAAACTGTTCTTTTGGTTGCGAATGTACCAATCTAACATATGAGTCATTAATATTTAATTAGTTGTCTTTCGTTATATAGTGGTAGAAACTGTTAAAATTGAGCACTTACCTCATCAAGAGATTGCTCCAATTTACTCTTCAGCTTGCTCAAATGATTGACTTTGTCTTCTTCAGCTTGAAGACTGTCAGATAATTTCTTGTTAGCTTCTTCCATATTCTTCTTGTCTTTAGTCACTTTCATAATCATATCTTCTTGTTTTGCAATTTCATCATTCAAGGTTTTAATCTGGTTATCCTTGGAGGTTTTCTCTTGCTCAGCCTTAACCAAGTTGGTCTCCATATCTTCAAGATCCTTCTTAAGGTCGTCGTTGGCCTTTTGCAGTTGCTTCTTAGCTTCGGTCAAATTACCAACGGCATCTTCTTCATCCAAACAACGCTCTTCCATTTCTTTAATTTGAGCTTCAAAATCAATCTTCTGTTTGATAAGATTCTCAACCTTCTCCTCGAATTCAACCACTTTATCTTGTTCAGTTTGGAGTTCTAAGAACATATCATTCTTCTGTTGAAGTAAAACTGTATTCTGTTCTTCAAGTTCCTTCTTCATCTTTTCACTTTTCTCCAGTTCAACCTTGGTCTTTTCAAACTGTTCTTCTTTCTGTTTCATTTCATCTTCAGCACGAGCAACGTTCAAGAGTGGTTTTACTTTGACGTACATCTTCCACCAGAGCCAGTTTCTCATAGCTAACCATTTACGGATGTTCTTCTGGATCACAGATAGACCGATTCTACAAGAGAAATGAATTATCATCCATCAGTTTGAGAGTAAATTTGTTAGTTTAAATTCTAAAGTTCTAATTTTCTCAAGTTTTTTTGTGTATCAAAAAAGACTCAACTGAGTAAGTAAAGATCTACAAAGAACTTACCTTTTGTCACACAATTTCTTGTAATTTCGTCGTACCAAGTAACCTCTGATGTGAGCTTGGAACATGGCGATGATAGAGCTTAATCTTTCATCACGAAGATCTTCAAGATAACCCAAAACACCAGCTTTGAAGAAGACTTTGGTGGAACCCAATTTGTATTCATTAGGATCCATCTCTAAAGCAACAAGAATTTTACCGGCAACAGTTTTTCCATCAACAAAACCATCAGGTATAGCATTAGGAGCTAGTATAGAATATCTGAAATAAGTATAATAAACGTTAATAACTGATCAAAATCATAAAAAAAATATGAGGGCAATACGAGTGTATCCGTTGAATTTTCTTTTACGTTGATTCGATTCATTTCCCAGAGCATCTTAAGAGCCAGTAATATCAACTGGTGTAGAGGAAAAAAACAACGACAAAGGAGCGTAATATGTTTATCGTTTAGAACTGACCTTTGCTTGAATTCAGAGTGAACCAATCTATTAGGGAATCCCTTTCGGCAAATACGGATACCTTCCAATACACCATTACATTGAAGCTGGTGAAGAACCAAATGAGCATCGACCTCACCAGGTTGTTTAAATTCATTAGGAATAATACAACGTACAAAATGAGGATGAGTACTGTACAAGTTCTTCATCAATTTGTTCAAAGATTCCTGAAAATAGAGGGAGCAGCATGAATATTGTAATCTTAATACATTCAGGTTTCCAATACTGAATTGATTTGTGATGATGATCAAAAATATTTTGCAATCTGCGTTTAGTTATTGATTTGGAGAGCAAATACTTACTCTGTGGGTAGCAGAGATAGTCTGGAAAGCAGAACTCTTCTTCTTCTTAGCAGGTCCACCGGAAGCAGCAGCAGGTTCAGAAGGAGCAAACAGAGTCTGGACCAAAGCTTCCTTGGAGTGCATCAACAATTCAACAATAGTTTCATTCAAAGGATCCTTGTTCTTTTCTAACCAAGCAGTAATACTGTATGGTACAGTACCAGCATAATGATGAAGTTCAAAATGAGCTTCACCCTTGACTTTCTTGCCGACTGGTTTACCAAAGTTGGGTGATTTACCAAGATGATTTTGGTAGAGTTTTTCCATGAATGATTTATCACTAGCTTTAGGGAACATACATTCTTCTTCAAGGATTGATAAGATACCTAAAGGTTTTTCAATCAAATCAACACAGGCCTGTAAATCCATACCGAAATCAATAAATTCCCATTCAATTCCTTCTTTCTTGTATTCTTCTTGTTCCAACACGAACATGTGATGGTTGAAGAATTGTTGAAGACGTTCGTTGGTGTAGTTGATACATAACTGTTCAAAACTGTTGAACTGAAAAAGAAAGATTTTGATCACGGATATGATATATTTAGACGGAAGATCATCAAGACTGTATCAGTGTGCTGCTCGAGCAGAGCTCTCTATAGTAAATGCTTGTCAAAATTGGATTAGAAAAGGTACTTGTAAGTTGAAACCACAATACACATATAATACACAGATCAAATACTTACATCAAAGATTTCAAAACCAGCAATATCCAGTACACCAATGAAGAATTGTCTTTTGGCCTTGGTATCCAAAGTTTTGTTGACACGAACAACCATGCTCTTGAACATACGATCATACAGAGATTTGGCTAAAGCGGATACTGAATATACAACTTGATCCTTGGTACGACCTTGTGTTACAAATTCTGTTCCGACCTTGATCTTTGGTTTCAAAAATCCTTTCAGTAAATCTTCAGGGTTGATACCCAAAAGGAAGGCGACCTTTTCAGCTTCTATAAAAATGAACCAGGGCACAAGGTTAATGATATGGTCGAATATGGTAATAATATGATGAAGTTACCGAGCAACTGTATGATTTAATAGGTCACTGCAAGTAGTTGCTTATTAGCTGTTTTTCTTTCGATATAGATCAGTCGGAATATTTAAAAATCTGTTAATATTACATAAAGACCATCACTTACCAGCATTTCCATCAGATTCGGCTTGTTCGCCTCTCTGTTTAAATTTCATTTCACCGAAATGGACGATGGCACCAGTACATTTTAAGTAACTCAACTTTTCATCTTCACTGAATCCCAGGACATCGAAAGCTTTCTGTAAAGTTAAGATTCATCTTATAAGCCAATCAATGACGTCGATATAGTTACATAAAGCAAGTACATGTACAGTAATTTGCTGGCATGAAATTCGACCAAAGTTAATTGCTAAAATTGTAACGCAATTTTGCAGTTCTTTGTTTTTAAGCTTGGGGACTTTCAGTGTGCTTCGTATGCTCTGTGTAATTCAGGATTACTTACGTCAGTATCTTTCATTTCCTGTGTATCATCAATACTATCAACAGTTAAACAACCTTGGTTGATAAATGAATATAAAGCTGGATCAGGACTGACCAATAATTTCTCTGTAATAAAGCACAGATATCATGAATAAATGTTATAGAAAAATAAAGTTGTGTTGAAAGACGGTTGAATGGTTACGCTAGTCTTTTTAATATTAATTACATGTCTTTGTTGCCACCACAGAGTGAATTCTCTATGGTTGACGAGCACGAACTTTGGCTGGTTTAAGCATTGGTCAACTTTGGTGAACTCGAATGCAGGCTCTTGGAAACTCAACTTACCATGATAAGCAGGAATAGCGTTAGATAAAAGTTGATAGAAAATATGGTAATTTCTTTCAGCTGGTTGACAATATGTTACTCGAGACTTCTCCAATAAATCTGTAAAAAAATTGAAATAGATCATTATAATGCTATAATTGGACGACGGTGAAAGTTCTGAATTACATACTTTATCGGGTCAGTCAGATTGATAATAACGTAAACTCGAAGTATTGGTAGGCACCTAGGTAAATTATGATATGCAATATGTTTCTGGCTTTCTGAACAAACTCTTCATCTGTTACAAGACTGCCGTCATTTGATCTTTTTCATATTGGAAGATGAATGAATTGATTTTTGATTGAAATTACTTACATTGTTCAATATCAGCTCCAGAGATTTTACCTTGGGTACCAAAATGGATACGGATGAATTTACCCTAGAATGAAGAAAGCAAATGAGATGATAAAGCAAGAAGAATTGTTATCTATATGTTATTCTTAGATTTGGTTAGCTGTGGAGGGTCATACTTGACACCTGACAGATTTTCGGAAGCATTGTAGATGAAATCAAAAATGTATCTCTTTTCGGAATTCACAACTATTGCTTCTAATTATTTATAATTGACAATGCAAATGCTATTGACACGGCTATCTTGCTACAATAAGGTAAGCAATATAAACAATACTTACGAATCTAGAAGAGTTGTTATTACGGGTTGTTTTGGCGTTACCGTAAGCTTCAAGTACTGGATTACATTGTACAATCTGATCTTCTAGTGTACCCTGTGGAAGAATAAAATTAAATAAAGCTATAGCTACTCCTTTATTTTCGATTCGCTTTGATACGTAAAGAGATAAATCGGGAATTATCATAAAGCCAACGGGTTTATTAGAATATGCTTAGGTCGTTGATAGCGTATTGGCTCAAAATGTTATGTGCTAAATTGGAGTTTTATATCCAAGCTAAAATATTTTTTACTGCACTGCCTGTTGTCTTTTTTGATAAGGTGTATTCAAGTAGGGTGTAAAACTCCATTCGGCAGATCGCATGAATCTATACTCAGTATGTTATTTAGTAATTTGGCTACTTTGTTCAACTAATTGCCCAGATTTTAGCAACTACTGCCAACGTTTGGGTACCAATCTGTTCGACACGTGCCGATGTTTATCTTAAACATAATACTAATTGTTTATCTCTGATAATTAGTATCATAATCTACACATCATTACACTATAATGTTGATTATATAAAACCACAGTGCTATATATTAATCTAACAATATCCAAATCTAATGTGGAAAGGACCATGTGCCGATGCCGGCATAACGAAAAATGTAATAAGAATGTTTCTTGAATGAATTGATTCACATTGTGAATATCCTTAAGTAGAAATTCAGTTAATATCATTAGTTCGTTTAGGAGCGAATTTCTTCTTAGTTTTGGTTATTCAAATACTTCTTACCTTTTTCTCGTCTTTCTTTTCTTCTTCTTCATCACCTTTTTGTCCCATGGCAGCAACTTGGGCAAAGTACATAATGACTTTCTTTGTGTTTTCTGTTTTACCAGCACCAGATTCACCACTGTAATAAGAACAGCGAAATTGAGCATCCCCGTTTCACAGTTAGTCTAAGCTTTGTCGATTTTGAATTCTGAGCATTAAGCTCATTGAACGTTTAACAATTCTAATTCTTGGAACTTTTGATGCCAGCATTGCTGTATACTATTTCTTCTCTATTTTTTGGATTTTGAGAAAAGGCAGCAATGTGGCGGCTAATATACTTACGTAATCAAAACTGATTGATTTTCACGTTCTTGTACCATAGATTGATAAGCATTATCAGCAATAGCAAATAAATGAGGTGGCATCTCCATCTTTCTTTTACCACGATATTTAGCGATAACACTCAATGTATAAATAGGTAATCTTTTATAAGGATTAATAGCGATACAAAATAATCCTGAATAAGTCTGAAATGATAAGAAAAAGCAAATGAAAATCAATGATATTGGTAGACAGCAAGGCGAACTATTTAATCCTTATCCTTTCAATATTTGTGAAAATGAAATGGTTGGAACCAAAACGCTGAATTTTCTTTTTCAGTTCACGGTATTTTAAAGTAATTTATTTTTATTAATTTCTATTTTGGGGAGGCTGAAGTGGGTATTCGGATTAAATACTTACATAGATAAGTCCTGATGTATAACGGGATCTTAAATTATGAAGAACTGAAGCCTCATTCAAGAAGGTCATATTGGCCATATCTTCGATTTTCTCATATTTTGGTGGATTCATTTGTTGAATTTGATCCTTCTTCACTGTTCTTTGCTGAAGAATAAAAAAAAATGTAATTTTCTTAATTCTAATACAAATAATTTTAATTGAAATTTCCATTTTGTCATCACCGTGCTTAAAAGCAAATTTACTCATTCTTGTACGTTTCGTTCTCTAAGATTTTTACTTACAACATGCATGTCGGATTCAATGTTTTTTAATTTTGCAAAAAGAAATATTTACCTCATTGTTGGTGGTAATTTTCACTGTGATTTCATCACCTTTACTACTAACAATTTCAGCTGGTAAGAAAGAGGCTTGAGGATCAGGAACCCAACAAGCTTTTTTACCATCAAATGCTTTAGTTTGTTCTTCCATCAACTTCTTTCTGTCTACAGCCAGATATTTCATATCGGGATCATTGGGATCGTAAGAGCCAGCCATCTTTGAAGTAAATAGTTAATAAATCCGAAGAAAAATTTTTAAGAGACCGATGTTCTGACAACCAACTGACTGAAATGAAAAATCATTGAGATGAAACCGAAGCATTCAAGTTTTGATGAAGCAAGAAAAATCTTCAGCTAGTTTAAAGAAAATGCCGGAAATTTTCATAAAAGAAGTCTCAGACCAATACCGCAGACAACTTAGTATCTGTACGTATACTTACACAGTGAAAGTCAGTTGTGATTTGGTTCTGAATCGGAGCAGTATTTATATGATTTGTCCCAACCACGGTTCCACATGTGCCAGAATGAAGCTCCTGTGCCGCCTTAACCTTTGGCCAATCAGATACTTGGTTCCTGTGACAGGGTATGTCCATTTATGGGAATCAGTTACGCCTCTTTAGAAAATAAGAATCCCATTGGTTCAGCCTTACTATCAAGTCAATCAGTCATGCTGTTTACGAAAGGACATAACCGTATATGGAAATAGACTCCGCCTATCTGATAGTCAGCATTTTGTGTAAACTAATCACAATTGGCACCGAAAATTAGTCTCAATTAGCAGAATGCATTATGAAGGAATTATTAGAAGAAACAAAATATTAAGATTTTGTGTTATATAATATCATGCAATCATAAATTAAGTAGACGTCTGACGAAGATAATATTTTTAATAGAACTGCAGAATGTATTCTTTAGTGCTGGTATCTTTATATTCAGACAGGGGGTAGGTGGGGGTGCAAATCTTATTTTATTGAGAATTCTCTTAAATTCACGTAGAAAAGCTACATTAATTTGCTCCAGTTACCAATATTTTGAAACTGCTCAATTCTGAATAAACAAACGTACAAATATTCGCTTTGTCATACAAGGCCGCATCCAACTTTGACGTTCTACCAAAACAATGTCAAAAACTGTGTCTTACGTTAAAATCTTATTAAAAAATTTCGAAAGCAAAAGAACTTCTTATAAGCTATTAATATTTTAATATTTGATATATAAAACATAAAATTATGCAGGAATTAGTAGTATTTTTGATAATTCAACCTTTTACCAACCGCAAGCACGGATGCACTATGACTGGCAATTTTCAAAAATAAATGTTTTCAAATAGACTACAGCAATTATGATTAACTTAAAGCGTAGATTACGGGACTAAATTTTGATAACTTTTATGCTACATCTATATTTTGTTTGTTTGATTTAAAAATTTTGTATGCAATTAATTTGGGATGAAATGAAATGAATGGAGTTTAACGTCCTACTTTTCTGCACCTTGTGGGCTAATGAAGACGGGCAACGCCATGCAGGGTGCGATGAGGGAAATTTTGCCAGGACAGCGGCATTAGCCTGCTCTTTTTCGATTTCCAACTGTCGAGGGATCTTTAACGTGCACAGTCTGTAGCGGAATAGCAATTAAGGGGATATTACTTTTAAACTAATGTAATACAGTGTGTCTAAATATGTTATCTCGTACGTATTCAAAATAAAATTTAAATGTATGTTATTTGCGGGGAGGTAATCGGGTCAATAGAAATATAATTTGAAATAAACACATTTCCCACCCAACATACTATGTACTAAATTTTGACCAGAAAATTGAACAATATGAAAGAAAATTTCAATTTAAAATTATTTCACCGATAAGGTTTTTTTATCAGCCTAAAGACAATCTAAGACTTTCAGCAGTAGTAGAACGGTGTTTCAGATATCATTAAACGAAAATTAACAAAATGCGATTCTGAAGCCATTGTGGTCAGGCAGAAGTTGTTCCCTCTCACCACGCCCTCCCCGCTCATAATCCTTTCTTGGTTTTAGGAATATTAAACCAATCTGCTTTCCCACTATCAGCATATTGTATCGATATCATGATTGTATTAGGCACAGTAGGTGATCTCCCTTACATAATACCATTAAAGAGTATTAATAGATATTATATGGCCTACTGTTTATCTTAAGACTAATAGATTAATATATCCATTCTACCATTAACATAATATATTATGTTCCCTGTTGTTATATACAGTTTTGAACATCATTTGAAAATACAAAATTACTTGGATCTGATCAAATTCTGTATTGATGAAGATGGGAATTAATAGCTCACTTTTAAGAGAAAGTTCATTATCAATTCTTTTTAGAAAATACCAAACTGTGCGAATCTCTTTTGGCAAATTCCACGAATGACAGATAAGCTTGTACATCCGGCCCTTATTTCTCAAAATAAATTTGTTGTCCACAATGTAAATAGTTTAACGTAAAATTCGAGGATTATGTGAGAAACAAAAGGGCCTGGCCGTTCAGGTCTACTCTTGTTAAGCTCCACGATATTAAGCAGTGGCGGCGCAAGCCATCCGACACTTGGGCACAAATAGAGGACAGACTAACAAAATGGTGGGGGGAGGGTTGAACAACTAGGTTTTTTGTATCCAAAGTAGGACTGTTGATTTCTTTCTTTGCAAATCAGACAATTTCAAAGACCTGTGAAATCTCAAAAATGTGTTGGCATCCAGCGCTCTAGTGAATTAGAAGGCAATATGATGAAGACAGAAAACATTTTTTGTGGATGATAATTTATTAAAAATATTCTTTCATTAGACAAAACATTTTACACACACCTAATATACACATTTGGTTGGATTTCCCTCGAGACATTTTAATGGCCTAGCCTAGCGCAAGTTTCCAAATTTCAAGTTCAAAATTTCGCCAAAATTCTAATGCCTATTTTTGTAAGGTAGCTTTGTCAAATTAAAATTTGTCCAAACTTTGGTTCCATAATTTATTACCTTAAATTTGAAATAAAGTTTGGACAAATTTTAATTTGACATAGCTACCTTACAAAAATAGGCGTTAGAATTTTGGCGAAATTTTGGCCTTTTGAAATATAGCCACTTCAAATTAACCCTTTGACCTTACTAAATGACGTCTGCTTTAACCAATCAAATTTCTACTCTCTCCAGTGCTAGAATTTTAATTGGCATAAAAGACAAAAATTAACTTGAAACAATGTTTTGTAAAACATTGAAGGCTTGGCATAGTTTTCCATATAGACAATAAAATAATGAGAATACACATTTGACTAGATTAGCACTTTTATAATAAAGATTCATAAATAACATTAATATACTCTCTCATACATACATACATATACATACATAGTTCTCTTTCTTGTATCATTATATTATACAGATCTGACAATAACTGACATATACACTACAATAGGCAATTAACATAGTTTAATAATCTCTGCCAAACAAAAGTGATATTCCAATTCTATAACTTCAAGTAGCCAGCAGTAAGACATTTTTATGGTAGTCAAAGACTCAAAACTGATATACAATTGTTCAAGATATTTTTGATTATAAATTTTTGCTCTTCAATTTTCATGAATATATGGTTGCTTACTACTTTACACCAGAAATAGCTGAAATTCATCTGATAAGGCAAATAGTCCAACACCATATCCAATAAGATTGTATGCAATAGTAAGAACAACAATAGGCCATGTATATTTTATAGGAATCACAGTCAAAACTAAATGAAGCTGCAGTTAAAATGTAATGGAACCAGCTGGTAAGTAATTGTTAACTTGTCTATAATATCTAACATCATTCATTAATCTATGTACATTCTGAGTAAATGTTGGTAAATCCTGAAACATAAAATATTAAACAATGCAATAGATATTTGTAAAAGATGTGTGGAAGGGGTTTTAAATTTTTTTTTGTCATTTCAGGTCAGGGGTTCAGGAATGACAGAAATAATAGGCCATGTTTATCCTTCTAGAACACCTGATGTCATTCTATTCTGGTCATTATGAAATCAGTTTCAGAAATTAATTGAAATATAATAGAATTCCATGTCTTACTGTTCTGCATCTCATTGCATAGTAATGTCGCAAATGGAAAACTGTAACAGTTGATGTATATTTTTTCCATTTCCATTTGTCAGAGGATATTAGAAAATTAGAAAAATAGGATAAGAAACCTCATTGATCTTTCCCAGATTATCCAGACCCATTTACAGCTGGGTTGACTAGAATAACAAGGAAAGATTTCTTTTCAAGATAAACAGGCTTTCATATGCTGTCCTAGATTAGAACCAACGACCGCCATTTATTCCACATTAACAAGCAAATGACAAAAACTTACCTTATCTATCTTGAAATTTTGGCTTAAGAGAGTTTTTTGATTCACATCCAGTCCATCACAACTATTTAGAAACTGTGGTAAAAACCCAGTATAAAATCCTTCAAAATCTACACTAGCCATATTATAGACTGTTATTACAATTTCTTCTTGTAATAAATCATGAGATTTCACAACTAATGTTTGTAATAATACATTTAAAAACTGGAATAACATCATCTCTTTAAAAATTGCCTGAAATTTAAAGTTTTACGCAATTACTGCACTACTGTACAATTGTATGCTAGTTTTTTTTATATATCAATTCATTTCATTATAGAGCAATATCATTGATATGTTATTAAGCCTATAGCAAATGGAACGAGTTTTAATACTCTTTCCCACCTTTTTGAGTATTTTGCAGTTTAGAAAGCAAGCACTTAACCTTCTGGGTCAGTTAGACTCTATGGACACTAAATAAAAAACATTTTCAAAGATTAAATTTGCTAATTAAAGCCCTACCTTATTATATAGTTTCCATTTAGTATTGAGTAGTTCTAAAGATTCTAAATTCTGTTTAAAGATTGTAATATCTGGTTGTAGAAAGGATTGACCATATGCCTGAAATCATTATTTAAAACCTTTCAAATTCTATCTCTGGAAATTTAATGTTTGTTTTAAAGAAGAATCCAATCTTACTCAAATGAGATGACAATTTCGTTGCGTTATCGTTATTTTGTCTGTCTGCAGGTCGCGTATTGTTGACGTTCATTTCAACCAATCACAGCGCGTCAAGCAGAATCTGTGTCTAAATACCGACGGAGATCTACGTCCTACTTTTCTGCACCATGTGGGCTAACGAAGACAAGCAACGCTATGCAGGGTACAATGAGGTAAATTAGCTTGGTTTTTTTCGATTTCCAACTGTCGAGGGATCTTTAACACAGCCTGTAGACGAGGCCTTGGTTTATTGTCCCATTCGAACGACTAGACACTTTTTCATGTCAGCCCTGTCTTACTTACGTCACTGACAGGGGAAAACAAGGTTGAAAAATACGAAGGTATCATCTCGACCTATGCCGGGCAAGCGTCTAACTCACTGACCATCGCGGCTCCCATTAGAAATATGAGAGACACATTGCAGAGTAAAGACTTATATAAACATTACCTGCATGATAGCTATAAATTGAGGCCCATTTTCTATATCTTCAGAAGGTTTCTGTATAGTTGATAACACTCCAGATTTAAAAAAATATCTCCAGTTGTTATTTATTATTTCAAATAATAATGTATATAATACACACTTCATATCTGGTGATGGCCTCTACAATATTATATATTACTTTTATTACAGAGCTGTTACTCGTAACACTGACAACAGACAGGTATTGGTATAAATTTGTAGATTAATGCGCTATGCATTAATACCTCTCAGGAGGCAAGAGTCTTGGAAATTCAGTAAGAATGAGAGCTGTTGCTTGACAAGTTCAAGTATAAATTTGTAGATTAATATGGAAGGCAAAATGGCTTTTTATTCAATGTTCATTGCTATTTCTTAATTCTTAATTTTGAAATTCTTATCTCTTAATTTGCATGCTTAATTCAACACTTGTTATTGAAATTTGACATTTTTATACAAAAATCATAATTTGTACTGAAAATGAACATTCTTCGATAAGTATTTGATTTTCCAAGTATTGAGTTAATAGAATTTTTGCCAAAAATATCCTCAAATACAAATCTACAAATACAAATCTAGCTTAACATATCTTCAAATACAATACATCAAACACAAAACTCTACCAACAAATGTTCAAATACAAATCTCGCTCAACAAACCAAACATATATCTAATATATTTGTAGGTCATGATTATGACTACAGATGTTGCTGTACAACCAACATAAACCAAGATATTTTCAATGACAAATGTTGAATTAAGCATGAAAATTTAGAAATAAGAATTTAGAACTAAGAATTAAGAAATAGCAATGAAGAACATTGAATAAAATGCCATTCTGCCTTCCATAGATTAATTCCCAACTGTTACCTATCACTAAAGACCCATGCTTGAAACTATAGCCCTATTTGATACCCTATGTATACCACTTTAGATGACTTTGGTACACATCTCAAAAATTCAGTATCAATAAATGCACTTCCGATATATTGAATTTTTTTGCATTTTTATTTAGTTTTATCACGTCTAGAAAACTTTCAATTGCTCAATATATATGAGAATTTCTCACATGAAAATACAATTCTAAAATTATAAGATATAGACTTACTGGAGCTACTAAAGGGTAAATTTGATCCATACTAATAGTAATAATCTGTGGTAGAAAGGATTTAAACTGTGATCCAGGTTCTTGTACTATCAATACTAATATCTTTAAAAATCTACAAAGAATAATAATACAAAATAGTAAAAAGTGAGAAATGCCTTTGAATGCTACTAGAAAAAACTAGTTTTAGTCATTTAGCATTTTTTAAAAGTTTGTCTGAAAACAAGGCCTTGGATTTTTTTTTTCATTTTTACTCTACATTAATAAATTTCAAATTGATGAATACAATAAGATAGCTTACTTTTCTATCACTCTAAATGCTGAAGAACTTTCTTCATGAATTGTCTGTGCTAAATGTTCTCTGAAATAATTAACTTCATCTAAAACAAGTATAGAGCTGAGAAATCCTGTTTTAGAAGCATATCACAGAATCTTAAGATATTTTATATTTCCATTAGACTTCCAAATAATATCTAAGATAGAAGATCTATGAATGACATAGGACAGTTTCTAGGCCCTAAAATTAATTGTCTATTACTTCCTTAGTTGTGGCTCAGTTAGTTAGATGCTTGCTCGCTAATTGGGGCCTAGATTCGATTAGAATTTAAAATCGGTTTTCCCCTGTCAATGATACAGATCAGTGGCTGATAAGGACAAAGCCTCAAGTTATTTTGATCAAATAATAAACTGAAGTCCTGTGTGTTACAGTCAGTGCATGTTGATTCCTCAGCAGTTGGATATTGAAAAAGCAGAAGCTGCTGTCCTGGCAAACTTTCGCTACTTTATACTTCATAGTGAAGTTTATTCTCAAAAGCACAATCGGGTGACTAAAAGTAGGACGAAACACTCCATTTCAATTCATTTTGTTTAAAATCCCTTTCAAAATATACAGTACTTACTTAGTAAATAGATTCATAAATGTTTGAATAGCTTGTTGTGTAAAACTGACTCCCATCTGAACACGTAAACCTTGAAATAACGCTAGGAAAAAACTCATAATACTCTCTATTACATCTGAAATACATAAACATTTGTATATAACATTCATAGAGAACCTCGAATCAAAATAGTTTACTTAAGGAAAAGTATGGATAAATATTGTTGTATTTAAAGTTTGGTGTAAATTAACAGTTTTGTTGTATATATAAACAGTTTTTTTGTATATATAAACAGTTTTGTTGTATATATAAACAGTTTTGTTGTATATATAAACAGTTTTGTTGTATATATAAACAGTTTTGTTGTATATATAAACAGTTTTGTTGTATATAAACAGTAATAATCTGGTTGATGTATATATAGTTTTGTTGTATACATATAGAAAGCGTTGGTGTACTTACCTGTTTGTTGTATATAGACAGGAAATATACCTAAAGTAACATGTGTTATAACTTGTAATGATTGAAAACAGATCTTTTTACTCTTGACAACTTCACCAGCTATAGATTCTATCCAATCTTCTAACATACGTAATGTCTCTTGTATCACTCTTATTGCTATAATACACAAATACATTATTTATGTGTTTATCATTACTCATTTCATTATAATTGCTATAATACAAAAATACATGTATTTATTATTACTTTTGATTTTAATTGCTATAATACATAAAAAATACATGTATTTGTCACTCTTTAAGGTGCTTTAAACTGTTTTTTTCTTGCATTACCCAAGGGCAATTACTCAAAAACCTTTAATCAAATATCATGTCAAAATTTGTAATCATACAGTAAGCTAACCTTTATTATACAATGTTTTATTTTCAGCTAATAGTCTGGTATCTTTCAGTTGTAAATAATCAGCTGATAATTGATTTACAAAGTTTTGATGTAAGGCAGCTCGTTTCTCCCAATCTTGTTCTGATTCAGCTATATTTAACCATGGTAATAATAAATAATGTGACAGTGATCTATAGACTAAATGCTGGACCTACATAAAAATATATCAAATTATAACATTGGATCAAAATCTACTGTCTCCATGCTGTGGTCTAATTAACCAGATTTTTCCCAAAATTGATATGTATTTTTGAATATCAGCTTCAAAATAGAAGTGATGGTCAAGGATTGGCTGGACACATGGAACTAATTTTAAAGTTTGTTTTTACAATGGCAATTTTAAAATTGGTCGGTATCTTATAAATTTATTACTCTCAAGTTGTCTTATTAGGATGTGTATAAAGGAAAGTACTTACATTTCGTGATAACTACCCTGACTAGAGGCTGTATATAATGTAGATAAATTACTTACATTTTGTGATAAATGTATATAACTACCCTGACTAGAGGCTGTATATAATGTAGATAAATTACTTACATTTTGTGATAAATGTATATAACTACCCAATAGAGGCTGTATATAATGTAGATAAAGTACTTACATTTTGTGATAAATGTATATAACTACCCTGACTAGAGGCTGTATATAATGTAGATAAAGTACTTACATTTTGTGATAAATGTATATAACTACCCTGACTAGAGGCTGTATATAATGTAGATAAAGTACTTACATTTTGGGATAAATGTATATAACTACCCTGACTAGAGGCTGTATATAATGTAGATAAAGTTCTTACATTTTGTGATAAATGTATATAACTACCCTGACTAGAGGCTGTATATAATGTCATCATACTAGGTATTTCTAATAAGAAACATGGTCGAACTGTAGTTGTTATTGATAATAATAAATGAGATGCTGAATGAACTACTTTCTCTGGGATCTGAAATATTTGTAACATCAAAAATAACCTAATAAACCTGTGGTGATATTGTGCAATTCTAACTTATCTGAAATATCTAGTGCCCAAAATAATTCATCTTTATTCTTTAGGGATACTCAAAATGAAAGTGTTTTGAACCAAATTCTGCCCAAAACACAGGGATTGTAATATCTTCCATGCATAATCATCTTTTACTCCGCTGAACAGCCCAAATGCATACTTGTTAACAACTGTCTGTGATTTAGATTATCCTTTAGGACGAATGAGAACTGATACTTGGGCAACTCATGAGCAATTAGTCGCTAGCAGATAACAATCCAACTTGCAATTTGTCTGGTGTCACTTACTTGTTTATTAATCATAGGAGCTACAGATGATAAGATAGTATTAATAACATTATAGAATGGCTGGTTTGTTTCATTAGGTTTCTGAGTCTGGGCGTAAAACTGTACCAACCAATGAGAATAGGCTTTAGTGGCAGCTAGTGCTTGAGCATGTCTACAAATATTAAAAGACCAATTCATAGCATCATATTGAATCATTTTGAATAAATTATAATTTAAAATTCTTGCTGATAAAAAGCAATGGGTAAAATCATGTAAAGTTCAGAAAAAAACTTGCAAAAAATGGGAATTATACCAAATTTCTGCCAATAATGAATAAAATTGTTATACTTTTAATTTAGTAAATAGGTCTCTGACTATAGAAATGGAATGAAAGCTTATCATTAATTACATTATCATCTGCATTTGAATGTGGATAAAACCCAAAATTTTCAAAAGCAATGCAACTTCAGTGCCGTCTTGAACAGTATAATTTGTAAGCTCTATCTCTGATTATTGGTAAACTACAATAAGTTTATATGTACCTACACTTGTATAAAATCAGGCTGGAGAACAGTTTGAGCTGTAGACTCTACTTCAAATAATTTATTAGTACTACCAATAGATGCACAGGATACTAATCTATGAAATATAAAGTTATATTATGAAATAATACTCTAGTTTTATATCAGGAAAGGCAACATATATTTCTTATCCTCCAATGCTCAAGGCAGTGAAATAGATAGACTAAGTGAAGGGTATTCACTGAATCTACTCAAAATCCATAGTTTGCCATTTTGAGGTTGATTTAGATTTTGAATACATGTTTAGAGTTTTCAGAAATACTAGAAATGTATGAAAATTACATAATTCTTTCAAATATACTTCAAACTAGGAATTTCACTTTCTTTTTCTACATACATCACGCAGTATCAAAAAAAGACGAGTCGTCATTTTACGTGGATAATTATGAACACACATGAATTTGAAGACTCAAATTTTGACGCCAAAGTGTGAATTACTGATTAGCTTAGCTTAAGAATTCCCGTTTCTGAGACTGAGGTACAATTGATCAAACAGCTAGCAAAACTGTCCCTTTAATTGAATTAAGACGATCTAGGACTGACCTCTCCACTAAGCCTTGAGAAATAGAACATCTTTCAGAAAATTTCTCTCCTATAAAATGTTCAGCTAATCTGCCTGCGGCTTGAAATAAGGACGACAAATCTCTCAATGTACAGTGAAGTCTTCTGCATTCATTTTCACCAGTAATAGTTAATCGTCTCCCTTGGTTACCATTGGTTACAAACTGTCCCAGTTCAGCATAAATATTCACTGCCTCACTGAATGGTTCCCACTGAAAAGAGAAAAATCGATTGGTGAGTTCTGCTTGTTGGGGATTTATAGATCAATGTTCAATAAAACAAGTTGGCACAGAGTTCAGAACACGTTCCGCATTTTGCTGAAAAAATTGTAGGTGCAGACAGTATTCAAAATGGTGGAAAATTTTGAATGTGACATATCCCCTTACCCTTCCATTGGGGCAGAGACGGAGCCTGTTCATAACTCTCCAATCGACACCACCCTTGTTGCTAGTAGTGAAGGGGTGGAATATGGAAATAAAATGGCCGCCAAAGTAATTAGAATATTAAATTGCATTCTCTAGTACCCTATAATTTTGAAACGATATCTTCATCGAGATTTTGGAGCGCTGGAAACTAAGCATTGTAATATCTTGTTGTCAAGTCACAACGGACATGATTTTGAATTAGCCCCAACTACGCCACACAACAGGAAAGTACTTGACAACTATGCCATAAGATCATAATACTTACAATTAGTTGAAATGTTTCAGCTGGTAATAGCTCTGACACTTTAGCTACAACTTCTAATGATTGCCTTAAGAAATTTTGCCATTCTGTTTCATTCTGTAAAAGCAACAAAACTAACTCTTCATATTTAAAGGTAAATAAATGATATGAATAAAGATAAATTCTGCCTTTTTTTCATTATTCATCTAGTCAAAAATCTTATCAACCTCAACAAAAGGCTCAATAAATTATCATTGATCTCATTTCGTAAAGAAATTTACAAATATCAAGGAGACAAAATTGTAAGAATGCAACTTAACATATTTGTCTAAATTCACTTACATTATCATCTAATGATTCATCATCTAATTCTTCTAACTGTGATTGATTATATCTGAACTGTAATTTCTGGAGTATATGTGATACTAATGATGTTAAGGCTTCTTTATATCTAAAATACAAAGTTGAAAGATCAGATCGGGTTGAGTTTGATTTTCAACTGAATGGCGTGAAATCAAATGACTACACCTAATGAAGATGGACCAGTGCAGAGTGCAATGAGGGAAATTTTGTCAGGGTATTGGCATGCATGTATGCATTTTGATAACAAAGACAATTTCAGGGCATCACATCTAAAATACCCCTTATCAAAGTCTGTAGTGCTTGGAAAAACCTGTTGCAAATCAAACCCTTAAGTCTCAAATACAAATTTGAAGTAGATCAGGAGTAATTATTATTATTACCTGCCAATAACAGAATCAGTAACAGATGACCTTTCTCCTAGTTTAGTTAATAAATAATCTAGAAATGTATTCCATATCTCTAAACAATGATAATAACCTTCATGACTCGGCTGAAAAAAAAATCATCATTCACTCAAATTAACTAAAATCACAAATGACCATAATGCTACATCTTAAGGTGCGGGCACGCGAGCAGTCATGGCGGGAGACTTTTGTCTCCAAGTCCAATCTTGAGTAAAATCTCGCGTGTGTCCGTGATCCCACGACAAGATTATCACGTTCTTGACAGGATTTATAATATCAAATAAGTTTGATAATTGTCTCTGATAGTTTTATCGTCTGCAAGACAGACTGTCATCATCCAATCAGATTTATTTTCCCTTCAATTGCATGCTCCACAAGTGATTATCGACATGGTGGAAAACATCGACTGGAGATTTTTGTCTCCTCGTCCTGCCTGTGCCAGTCATTGAAACTCAAGACAAGACTCTAATCGGCAACAAAAGTCTCTGAACAAGATCGCTCGTGTGCCCGTTCCTTAAATGTAAAAATTTTGTGGATAATTTTGTTCAAAAAAAAGCAGTTCAAGTCTCTTCATGTTTGTTTTCTTTTCTTTTTTAAAATTGCCAAAAAAAGTAGTTAGCAGCGCCACCTAAAAATATAACCAAGGAAAATTACCTGTCTAAAGGTATATTTAAATAAAAGAGCTAAAAATTCGAGTATAGGAAACTTGGCATTATTTTCAAATCTTCTTAAATGTACACTAACAAACAACTGTAAAAAATCTGTAAACTTCTCAACATAACTGTAATAATAAAACATTACATGTTATTATTAATGACATCGCTGGACATATGATGAAATATCTTTAGGGTTTTCAGGCAAGCTAGGCTATTTTGAATCTATATCAGTTATTTCCAACTAACCTTATGAATGTATATGACTTATATTTTACATTAAGTGTCATAGAATTATGCAGATTCCATAGGTATATGAGAAGGCGAGCTTTCCCAAGCTATGTGTTGCCAGACAGCTTAAACACTGATACATTAACTTTATATAAAGCATAAAGGATGTTCTTTAAAACAGCCTGATTCAAGTGCAGATATTTATGTTTCTTTTATATTTTTCGGTAGGTGATCCGACAAGATTGTTAAGTATTTCCTGTTCAAGGTCATATAATAGTCAACCAATCAAATCATAAAAGATGTCCTAACTACATATGTATGTAAAGAAAGAATCTCTTTAGATTATAGATGGCAAGTGTAGTAACCTGCAATGCAGAAAAACCTTAAACAATCTAGGTGGCACTAGATTTCTGAACAGTTTCTGTCTGTTCCTATTCTACCCCCCAATGGTATGAAAGAAATATATTTTTTGGCACACATGGAACATGTTCTGAACTCTAATCCAACTTGTTCTATTGTTCTGTTGATAATATCAATTGTGCAGAACTCACCAATCAAGCAGCCTTCTAGTGATTAATATATTTCTTCAGTAATTTGTATCTTTCTTACCTTTCATCAGATTCTTCTAGACGATTACCACTAGATGTACTACTACTTTCTTTAGTTAACTTTTGTAGCAGGGAAAATGTCTGCTGAAACATTTGTACTAAAAAATCTTCAAATTCTTGAGGCACACAATTTTTGGCCAAGAGTTCGTTGATGCAGTTCATAGCCAACACGCCTAAATATTGGGCATTGACACTTGCGGAAGAGCTGGGACTTGAGGCACGTACATTTCTCACTTCACATCCAAATCCAGCAAAATGAAAGATGGTGCTGAGTAATTGAGGTGTTATAGTAGATGATAGAGGTATCCAACTAAAGAAATGGGCTAAACAGTTTAAACACAAAGAACATAATTGTTTGGCATTTTCATCTAATGGTGGTAAGGCTTCTAGTTGCACACCTCTACCTGAGGTCTTGAACATACTGGACATATCTGAAACAAACGAAAATTTTGGAATGTTGAAAAATTAATTCGAAGAGTGATATCAGGTGCTCTTCACAAGTGAAAATGACTAAAAGTATTCCATAGTGTTGGAATGATTAATCAGTTAACTGAAAACTAGGTCTGATTTGAAAGTTTTAAAAGTATATCAGAAGTTGGGAGAAGGGTTTCTTAGGCAGTTAGGCAGAAAAGGTAAAAAAAGAGTAATAATAGAATGAAAATTTACAAAAAAAGAACACTTACCAGATCTAGCAGGTGATGAAGAAAATAACAAAATGGCTGATTTTCTATGGGATTCACTTTCACCATGTGTAGGTGAGGGGGGTGGAGTAGCTGCTACTAAATGATGATGTTTCTCTAATACTGATTCTAATATATCTGAAATACAATAATAGTAATACTGATTCTAATATATCTGAAATACAATAATAGTAATACTGATTCTAATATATCTGAAATACAATAATAGTAATACTGATTCTAATATATCTGAAATACAATAATAGTAATACTGATTCTAATATATCTGAAATACAATAATAGTAATACTGATTCTAATATATCTGAAATACAATAATAGTAATACTGATTCTAATATATCTGAAATACAATAATATTAATACTGATTCTAATATATCTGAAATACAATAATAGTAATACTGATTCTAATATATCTGAAATACAATAATACTGATTCTTATATATCTGAAATAACTGATTTATCTGAAATACAGTAACACTGATCCTAATACACCTGAAATATCTTAAATACAATAACACTGATTCTTATATATCTGAAATAACTGATTTATCTAAATACAATAACACTGATTCTAATATATCTGAAATAACTGATTTATCTGAAATACAATAACACTGATTCTAATATATCTGAAATAACTGATTTATCTGAAATACAATAACACTGATTATAATATATCTGAAATAACTGATTTATCTGAAATACAATAACACTGATTCTAATATATCTGAAATAACTGATTTATCTGAAATACAGTAACACTGATCCTAATATATCTGAAAAACAGTAATACTGATTCTAATATATCTGATATACAGTAATACTGATCCTAATATATCTGAAATATAATAATACTGATTCTTATATATCTGAAATATCTTAAATACAATAACCCTGATTCTAATATATCTGAAATTTCTGATTCTAATATATCTGAAATTTCTGATTCTAATATATCTGAAATTTTTGGTTCTCGAAATACTGATTTTAATTCTGAAATATATCAATACTGATTCTAATATCTGAAATACAATAATACTGATTTTAAATTATCTGAAATACAACAATACTGATTCTAATATTTGAAATACTGATTCTAATATCTGAAAATCAATAATATCTGAGTCTAAAATACTGATTTGATTTCATCTTAAATTTTATCGGGGCTGGAAAGGGGCTGATAAATGAGGCTCCACTGTATACTCCATTTATTCATAATTATTGAATCTTCAAAATGATAACAATTTAAAAATCTATGAAGCGCATAAATCTTTCACTTACTATTAAGAAGACCTAATACAGTGGGAACTTGTAATAATAATAACTTATTTAACTCTTCTTTCCTTGCCATACTTAAATCTTCTCTAGGTGAGGCTAGTTCTTCTGATGCTGTTTGTAAAATCATGACACCTAGACTAACTGTGTCTGACTGTTGTACTAACTACAAAATATCATCACTATACTGAATAAACATAAATCATTAAATGACATCTAAAAGAAGAAAGTCCAATATCAAAAAAGCAAATTTATTTGGAATGTACTTTATCTTTATGACCAAAATGAAATTATAAGTTACATATCCTACTTTTTTGTTCCAGATTGGGCTAATGAAAAGTAAAATCTATTCAAGAACATATTAGCCTTTTTTTTTCAATGCCCATTTGACAAGATATCTATAATGTGCCCGGTCAATGGCCTAACAAAAATTATATGTCTTATTCTCTCAATGAAGGACTTCTTGACGCTATGCAATTCTCTACCACAATCTAATCAAAATTTTGTCAGACTCCATTGTAAATTACGAGATTTATACCAAAGTCACATACTGGTGACTTTTCAATCTATTTATAACAAACAATCATGTGCTACTCTCCTGCCAATCAGAATCTCTTTTACAAGCAGGCATTGGCAGTCCCTTAATCTCATTGGTCTTTGGATTCCGCTATCCCACAATTCATAGTTGATAATTAGACACTATTCTGCATGACGCAAATCTTTTTTGATTACAATGGCGATTGGAGACGGACGAAAAAAAAAACAATTAAAAGAGCTGGATATCAGACCTACCTGTAGTATACTGGGGAAAAAATCAGGATAAAAATGAGGCCAATCAATTCGACCTATATCTACTACTAGTTTAATTAATTTATTACGAATATAAGATGGTACTATGGTATGTTTCTCTAATAAATACTGGTTAACTGTATTTCTCAGTTCCAGTTTATCATTAACTGATATACCCAACCATTGACGATTTACCACATTCTGAAAAAAAAAATATCACTTTCAGAGTGGAAATACAATATCTGGAATCCTCTACAGTTAAACAATAACATAACCTTGGAGGTGACAGATGTTATTAGCATTCTCACTCGCAGTTTGGCAATATAAAAATAACTGCATGGGAGAATGTTTATAAAACTCAGAAACTTTCATCACTTCCTTAAGGCATGTTTCTATTTAATTGTAGACAAATCAGACATCAGATTATGATCATTATAAAATGTGATAGGGATAAGTAAAAGTTGCCTCTGCCAACTGGTCAAATGGATATATATATTGTAATTACGGATATCTAAAAGTGAGCACAAGCAACTAGTCAAAAAGATACATATATTTCTAAATCCCTACAAATACATAAGAAAATGGGTACGCCAGCATGTCAACTACTAGTACATTTGGGTTATTTACTACTTTTTTTCCCTATAAACAACTAATATTTACCTCTAGAAGGCTCAAACAAAACATCATAACATACTCATTCTGTGTATTAGCCATAAAATATAAACAATGTCTCCATGATTCTTTAGTTTGACCAAAATTATTCAGCACAGCCTCTAAAATATCAAAACAAATGCAGATGCTTTAAAATAAAAAAAACAAAAATTTGCAAGACAGGGTAAGCACTTCTTTTGAAAAAGTTGCTAAAAATATCTGCATTTGTGTTATGACATTGTTTATTTATATCTTATAAATTTATATCAAAGAAGCTTACATCTCAGAAAAAAACAGGATTTGAGATCTATATAAAGCTTTGCATTAAAACATAAAGATATACCGATTTCTCTCTTTCTTTCATTGCTGGTTCTTCCATCAAAAAACTCTGTCATCAGAGCCTCTAAGGCTCTCAAGGAGTTTTCATCAGAAGCCTGAAAATTACAATCAAAAAACATTATCAAACATTGACACAAAAGTGAAATAAACTTTACCAAGTGTAATAATTCTAGACATCAAAACTCATACAAGTTCAGCTCTGAACACATTAATTTATTGCAAAAGCACAGAGACCAGCATATGTTTCTATCATATGTATGTTCATGACTGCCTGTGACATCCAATCAAATAGCTGAAAACAAATGACCTCCTTCAGGTGATAGTCAACCAAAACTCTTAAGGCAAATGATACTAATCGTATTTTCTACTACATGCAAATGGATCTAGAGATTCTGATAAATAGGTGTTAACCTAATGAACTTGCATGGATATGTTGTTCTATACATGAGGTACAAACTTAATCAATTTCAAAGCATGATATAAAGACTGTATTTCTTGTATATAAAGTGTAGGCAAATTACTGACATTAACCGGTGAGTCCTAATAGGCGAGTCCTAATAGTAGACAGTAAGTTTACCCTTTACTACTACCGTCTACCTATTTGACTGCCTTAAACCACAACTAAAATGGTTTATTCCACTAGCCCTACAAGGGTGACTAAACACCAATTCATTCATTTATCTGAAATTTTGGATTGGTTCAGAGTTTCATGAACTATGGGAGTGAGTCTGACTGAGATTTCAGAGAGACAGATTGGACGTTTTCACATCACACAAGAAAACCTCTCATTCACTAGTTTAACAACTATGATTGTGACTACTCAATCACTAATTTGATAATTATGAGATTTGAAAACTTTTTACAGGGTGGAATGTGACCCCGACTTATTCAGCATAAAATCATAACTTGGAAATTACCATTTCAGGAACTTAGATTTAATAATTTACTATCCGAAATTCTGACAAGTAAGACTTTGGGAACCATGTGGGTCTTTGCATTGTGGGATATTAGAATTTTGACGTTTCTAAGATGTTTCGTAACTTTTAACATTATGAGATTATTGCCACCGTGCTATGTGTATTTTTCAGTAATTTTAATTATAATTTTCAGATTATATTATTTTTTTCTAAACTTTAGTTGTTACTCAATAATTCTATCCAAACGTCTCAAATACATTGTAAAAATGAAACTGATACGTAACCACTCGGCCTTGACCTATCGATCTTATTGAAACTGAAAGTAGATTATTCTTTAGTCTCGGACAACCAGACTTCTCCTCCCTCTGTGCAGGCAAAGTGGTGTTGGATGTAAGAGGCTAATTTGACATTGGACCTAACATTTAAGTAAACTGTGTTTTTGAAGTTTTGTGATGTCGCTCCCCATTAAATGTTTCGATTGAAAAAACACATCTGTAGGGTGCTTTTTTGTTCCACAAAAGGAATTCTAGTCATTGGCATTTTATCAGTTTTGATTCTGCATCTATTTTCGGAAGATTACTCAGTTTCCCATTTGGCCCAATTTGTCTTTTTGCCAATGAATTATCTTCTGACTCGGTTTAAAAAGAGTTTTGATATGGTGGACAGTAAAACTGATTCTGGTAATATTTTGAACTTCATAAAAATTGGGGCCAACAAAATAGTCTGAACAAGTCCAAAAACAATTCATTGGCAACTAGCCACAACCAGTGCTTCCTTAGAATACCCATCATCAGGTCTACATTTCAACTTTGTCAACAAAATTGATTTGGCCAGCTTTCGATTATTTTCACTGATTGAACACCTTGCCCGTGCCTTACTTACGTTGCTACAACATATCTTTGAGGGGGTTAACAACTTTCTTACTGTGTAAATTTCAATACTTCCCTCAAAGGCTTGTTTGGAACAGCGTCTGTGGCACTCGAATTGCTGTTGCCAATTTGAGGTGCTGTGATTTGTTGAAATGAACATCAACAGTATGCAACCTTGGTATAAATCTTTTTAGATTACAATGGAAACCGATGACTAATAAAGTCAGAATGGGTAAGAGGCAGCAAGTTGCAGACTGTAAGTTGTAATAAATTTGTTTGGCAACTATTAATTAACGGAAAGATTTTTAAATCCTGAATTTATTTTGCAGATAATACAATGTTGGCCAGATTCAGAGCAGCTATGGTATTAAGTGGTAGTGGTGATGCTATAGGATACAGACATGGTAAATGGGAATTTTGTTTAGATGGCAGACAAATTCATAAAGAATTACAAGAAATGGGTGGAATTGCAAAAATTAATGTAGCAGGTAGGTTAGTATATGTCATCGGAAAACCATAGAGTATGCAATGAGGGAAATTTTAAAATGCAAGCAGCATGAGAATACCGACTTTTAAACTGTTGATGGATCTTTGATATGTGCAGCATATCAACTCAGAAAAATATTAACTAAACATTTTTTCAAAGTTGGCCCCTCAGATCAGCTTGTTTTAAATGGTAAGGGAAAGGTGGAAAAATCTAAAAAGGCACTATCTAATTTAAGTTAAAGGGATTGTAAAGAGGTTTTCAAAATTTTGTATGTGTATCAAGGACACTAATAGCATAGTGGTTCCTATAATTCCACAAAAACCAAGTGTTCGATGATGTCACTAATCACAAAATGTGCTTTATATCACAAAAGGCAATTTGCAATTAGTGACGTCATCAAGCTTTTGTCCAATTGCAGGAACCACAGACGTCTGATTGAAAAAAGAATGGTGCAAATTGATGCTATCAGTGTCCACGATACACATAGAAATTTAGAAAACCTCTTTTAATCACTTTTAGATTTGAACTGGGGATCCCAATATTGGATGGTCCAAAAAAAAAAGGATTATAAAAGTTTTCATTTCAGGTTATTTATAAAGTAAGTTTAATATAACAAATAGTCAATGTGACCATATTATTCAGCACAAACTGCCTATAAACACTTTTTCTAGGCCAAAATTGCTTGATTAACAATGCTTTTGTAGAATATTTTTTGTATAATTCTAGCCAGAAAAAGAGATAATCTATTATGGATAGTTAGTGATGATACTGTTATGCATTTAGCTACAGCAGAAGGTAAGAACTCGGCTATTCTCCTCAACTATAATTTATCTATTCCCCTCAATTACAATTCATTTAAAGGCAACCTCACAAATAAATCAAGTGCCCTGCTCAAATAATCAGGTGCGCCAATTTTTCGACCAATCAAGGCAATCATACTTTAGTCTCAGAATTACTCAGAAATGAGAAATTTTTATCTAAGCTAATCAGTAATATTGTTTACAGCCTTCAAATCCGTGCATGTTCGGAATTATCCACGTTTGAAAGTTAAAAAAACGAGTCATATTTTTTTTGAGAAACTAAGAAATTCCTAGTGTGAGATATTTTTGAAGGAATTACGCGATTTTCATACATTTCTAGTACATTTGAAGACAATTTACATATAATCAAGACTCAAATCATACCCTCAAAATGGTGGACCCATCCCATTGGGTATTAACTAACCAATACAATTTCGGGGAAAAAGAAAATTTATTTAAAAAGATATGAAAGAAATTTGAGACTCACCAGTTCGGTGTTGATTAATGTGTTTTACATTTGTAGCTCTGATAGAAAGTGGGGAAACAGAAGATTGGGATGAACTATTCTATAATATTGGTAAACATTATCAAGAATCTATGAAGGATATGAGAGGTAGAGGTCCAGGTAAGCATTGCTGTAGATATTAAAGGGTAGAAAGGGTGAACATGTTTCAGTTTCACTGAACTCTTGTTGTGTTCACTTATCACTACACAAACAACTTTGGCTTCAATCCTGAGGTCAGCTTTCAGTATACTTTGATATACATGATGTATTAAATTGTGCAAGACTAGTGCATCGTTTGATTTTGTCCAATCAAAATCATGGTAACAATAGCTCCACCCTTTTTTGTGGGGAGAATGTTTTGATGGAATGGCAGACCAGTTAAGGTTGCAATGTGAGTGAAAAAGACCGTGATTAGCTGAAACATGCCCTGTTGTGAATTTTACAGCATTGTGGTGCCAAGGTGGCATTTGATTTTGTCCAATCATTTCCATGGTGACAATAGCTCCACCCCATTTCTCATGGCAAAGCTTTTGAAGGAATGGCAGACCAGTTAAGGTTGCAATGTGAGTGAAAAAGACTGTGATTTGCTGAAACATGCCCTGTAGTTAATTTTACAGCATTGTGCACTGCTAGATTCTCTTCCAAGTTGAGAAATTTGGATAATTTCATAATAGGATATGGTTAGATTGTCAAAAACTAAAAATTTTTGAGATATGGATAACAGACCTTGGACTAAAATACTTCTGTTGTTTTTCTATTACAGGTCCTACATGTATGGGTGGTGCCAGTGCATTTAATCCTAGTATTAAGAAGAAACAAATTGTACCATTTGATGGAAGGTAAATTGCCTTTGATTGTTATTGTTGTTTACATTTTTCTTTTCTTTTTTTTTTTGAGAAAATAGTGAAGTGCAGTCTTATTAAAATTTGATTGAAATTTCTTTCCTTCTTTTATGATTTTTATATATCTCTATATTCATCTAACGAGTTTTCTACCACAGTCGTGTTCTAATGATGTTATTCTTCATAAAAGCCTATAGTGGAGGGGCTTGTTATTTACTCACAATGAAGAATTGTTGGATATTGCTCTACTTTGAGTTAATCTTTCCAACAATTCGACACTGGTGGCAAGTGCTGAAATGGTCCTACATGATTACATGCTCTGATTGGTTGAAAATAATGTCATAAGGACGAAGTTTTAATAACGTTTGAATGAAATTGAACAAAGTGTAGTGATTTGAGAAAATAGTATTGACATGTAGCCTATTTCGTGAATTGACATCAATTTGTAAGCTAATCATTCTAATACTATTTATTATAGAGGTGGTGGGTGTGGTGCTGCTATGAGAGCTATGTGTATTGGTCTACGCTATCCTCTGTAAGTATGGACATTGGCAGAACATTCAATGCAAAAGTCTAATTATATGCTTTATCAGTTCAATGTCATCACTTTCAGACTATTTTTCACAGTGTCTCATACAGATTTTAATTCTAATGTGATGTCCTCTGTAATACCTACTTTTCTTCCATTTTTTGTTAAATTGTACAGGAACATGAAGTCAAAATTTAATTTGAAAGTGATAGAATTAGCTGAAATTGAACTCTATCAGCAAGTAAAGCAAATATTTGGACAACTTTTTTAATGCCTTTTTAAAATCCAGACAACAATCCAATTTAAAGGTTGATGTTTATTTAATGTGGTATTAATGTCTATAACCCTTGTCTAAAGGCTTGATTGATAATGTTATTAAACTCTATTGATATAGACATAAAGATGAAGATAAATTGATTAAAGTGAGTGTAGAAAGTGGAAGAATGTCCCATCATCATCCTACAGGTTATCTAGGTGCTGTAGCAGCGGCTTTATTTACTGCTTATAGTATACAAGGTAAGACTCAGAATTGCTCTTCCAACGCAGTTAGCTCAGAATTTAATTTAAGATGCATGCTCACTAACCTGAATGTCCAGCATTCAATCTTGACATAGGACAAGATAATACCTTTTGATTTTTCAACCCTGTTTTCCAGTCAGTGTCTAGTCATTCGGATGGGACAATAAACTGAGGCCCATGTGCTACAGGCTGTGCAAGTTTAAGATCCCTCGATAGTTGGAAATCGAAATAGAGCAGGCTAATGCGACTGTCCTGGAAAAATTTTCCTCATTGCACCCTGCATGGTGTTGCCTAGAAAAAGTAGGACATAAAACTCATTTCATTTTTTCTCAGAATTTAATTACAAATATTCAAAATAAAGTTTTAAGGTTTGAAAGGTTTACATTTGGAATAAACATGCTTGTATTTTGTACTAACAATTTGAAACTATAACAATCACAACAGTATGTCACCAAATTTGGCAATTTACGTGTTTATATGGAAAATGAAAAATTTGTGCATGGTGTCATTGTAGAGAAGCCTATAATAGAATGGGGTCACAGTTTAGTAAATGACGTAATACCTAAAACATTACAATATATAAAAGATACTGATGAATATGTAGCACCTAATGTTCAAATATGGTAAGTATACAGAAGTTGATGTTTCTGTTTTTGCTGTTAGAAACCTTTTTTCCCTCCCTTTCATAGTCTTCAGAAGAGTTAAAAAAAAAATTAGCTATGGATTAAAAATATGTTTCAACCTAAACAGAATTAAGTTATAAGAAAATGAATTGTATATAATGTTTATCAAACAAGACTTACTCTAGATATATTGATGTTAATGTGCTTCACAAACTCCAGCGTTGAAGTTGATTGGCTGACAGTATTATCAAATGGGTTAATATCAAGAGGCCCATCTTGAGACCCTAACTTAAGTGGCTAAATTAAAAATAAGATCTAAAGAAAAAGGGAACAAAAGTGTGGTCTTATTTTAGTTGGACTGTTTTGTATTTAACTGTATACTAACCATGAGTAGGATTTTCAATCTAAAAAAAGAAACATAGTTAGCTAGAAGTTTGACAACCTGGTGACCACCCCCCTTAAATATTTCTGTAATTTTATTTGATAAGGGATGATGAGAAAGGATTTAAAGCCCACTGGGAAAGATATTTAAAAGAGAGAAAGATAGCAGACGGCAAATCAGAGCCTGTGTTCCCTAAAATATATGATGTAGAAGAAAGAGATATATTTTATAAGTATATAAGTTTTAGTGGATGGGGTGGCGCTAGTGGCCACGATGCACCCTTGATAGCGTAAGTAGCCCACATATTCATGTCCTTATATATTTTTGAAAGTTTTTTGAATAAAGTAGTGGTTAATTCAAAGTGATGAGTTGTGAATTGTGAATAGCATCGGGTTTTGACATGGTCTTATTAACCAGTATTAACCTAAGCCCACTATACTTTGTTTTGTGGGCATGGAAATGAGATTGGTGCTATTTGAATCTGACCAATCAGATTGGTAGAATGGAAATAAGGTCATGTAAACAAAATACAGCATCGCTTTGTCATTGCCTGTTTGTGGAGATTAGAACACATTCTTTCCAATTAAATATTCCAAAGAAAGGTTTGATTTTCTCTCGGCTTCAATTCTTTACCGAAAATCTGACTTAATTCTATAGGATCTACTGTCCATATTAAACAAAATATGTAATGGCACGCTGCTTTCGGTTTTTTTTTTTGCATGCATCAGAACAAGTGATTTCTTTTGATTGGCTGAAATTTTACTAACAAGCAATTTTCATTGGACAATATTTATTTCTGAATACGTAATTTTTCTCACTTGTATTACCACAATCTCGTGAAAATTATGGTTTAGACATGATATAGATAAAGCTGATAAGGAAAATGATGGTTTAGTCAAATCCTGCTCAGATTACAAAAATCAACCCACTCTAAATTATTACCAATGGGTTTGTCCATGAACCAGATGTTACAAAGATTACTTGAAATGGAACCATCTCTTGCTATCCTTGGAAAATATCTGTAATGTAGATAAAAATAATATTTTTAATTTTTTGTCTTATCATTATTTTGTATTAAAACTACTGTGCCATTTAATATGATATGCTTATTTTTTCCAGATATGATGCCTTACTAGCAGCAAAAGATAACTGGACAGAGCTTACAAATAGGTAATTCCAAATACATGGCAGTTTAGGTCTTCAAATTCTTCACAATTTTTATGCAAATATGATGCCCTTAAAATTTCCAAGTGGAAAGTAAAACATTATTTTACAAATATTGTTTAATTAGTGTCACAGATAGCACAAATAGTTCCTATGATGTAAACAACGAAGTTATTAATTTCAGAGCCTTTTTCCATGCAGGAGACAGTGATAGTACAGCTGTAATGGCAGGCTGTTGGTTTGGTGCTCTCTATGGTTATAAAGATGTGCCAAAATCTAATTATAAGGTAAGAAAGAACTAGGCCTTTAGAAAGGGAAACCAAGGCTGTTTGACTCTATTTTCTGGGCATGACTGGCATGCTAGCAGAAATGCCAGGTAATCACAAGTCTTTGTTGGACATCAAGTATAGCTTAGCCATCATGTGTCATTCATTGTCTGTTGAAATGCAAAATCTTTTTTGAACAGACCATTTGATTGGTTGATTCTAATTTCCCAGAACAAGAGATGCATAAATATTTTGTCAGATCATGGATAGTGAGTGGATTTGAAAAACTTGTCCAAAAAAATATCCTTTATGAAAGAAGAAATTAAGCGATTAGAAAACTATTTTAGATTACTCAGTTTGACAATTCTGCATCCCCTTTTAGAGAGTACACAAAGCTATTAATGTTATGTTTGTATATTATAGGGTTTAGAATATCAGTCGAGATTAGAGAAAGCTGGTGAAGAATTATATAGATTGTCACATATAGGAGATACTAATAATTCAAGTTAAAATTTGCTTAATGTCACCTTATTATTCAATATCTAGATAGTATCTACTAGCTACCTCTCTCTATTATACCATAAGGACTGGTTGAACCAAATCCCTGCCCCTAATTCCTGAGGAAGGGCCCCTATGCATTTAAGGCCACAGGCCCTCACTCATCTACTGGAGCCACTGAATTTAAGTGAATAAGGTAGTTTAAATCTGATTGTAAATGGTGTTCTAAATTTTTTATGTGATATCATCAATTTGCACCATTCCAATTTTAAATCAGATGTCTGTAGTTCTTTTAATTTCACTTGGTCCTTATATATCATTAGTAGCTATTGCAACAGTGACGTCTTAAAAAACTTAGTTTTTGTGGAATTGCAGGAATTACAGACATTTGACTGAAAATGGGAATGGTGCAAATTGATTCTATCAGTGTCCCAGATACATATAAAAAAAATTAGAAAACCTCTTTACAATCTCTTTAAATCAGAATACAGATTTAGTATAGCTTAAGTAATATTTCAGTAGGTGATACATTAAGCTGAAGTTAAATATTTTTAAATGAAATAATAGATATAAAAAATAGATATGAAATTTGAAATGAAATAATAGATATAACAGTTGAAATGAAATAATAAATATAAAATTTGAAATGAAATAATAAATATAAAATTTGAAATGAAATAATAAAAATGAAATAATAAATATGAAATTTGAAATGAAATAATAAATATAAAATTTGAAATGAAATAATAAATATGAAATTTGAAATGAAATAATAAATATGAAATTTGAAATGAAATAATAAATATGAAATTTGAAATGAAATAATAAATATGAAGTTTGAAATGAAATAATAAATATAAAATTTGAAATGAAATAATAAATATGAAATTTGAAATGAAATAATAAATATGAAATTTGAAATGAAATAATAAATATGAAGTTTGAAATGAAATAATAAATATGAAATTTGAAATGAAATAATAGATATAAAATTTGAAATGAAATAATAAATATGAAGTTTGAAATGAAATAATAAATATGAAATTTGAAATGAAATAATAAATATGAAATTTGAAATGAAATAATAGATATAAAATTTGAAATGAAATAATAGATACAAAATTTGAAATAAAATAATAGATATAAAACTTGAATTGAAATGATAGATATAAAATTTGAAATGAAATAATAGATATAAAATTTGAAACAAAGGGACCTTAATTGTTGGAATTTTTTTTCCCAAAGTCATTCATGCTATTTTTTGCATTATACCTTCACAAGCTTTATTTTTTCTTTTTTAGGAATTTTACCTTTTATTTAAATGAAGTTTTTACTTTATATTCATATATTATTAGTATTATATATTGTATATTCAATACAATAATGAGGCAATATAAGATATAATTTCATTATTTATTCACTTTGCCACAACATCAATTGCGTTTACACACCAATAATGTCATTGAGACCAATGTTTAATTCTTAAATAAGCCTATATACCTTTGTGTTTGTTTTGTTTTTTGTTATATATTTTGATTAAAATGGATTTTTTTACTGATACAATTTGTATGTTGTTTATTAAACATATTTATCTGTTTTATTTATGACTGTGATATTTTTGGCTGCTTTGTGTGAATATTATTTAGAAAAGCAAAATTTAAGATTCAACACAAAATAATTTATTAAGTTAATTTATTCTTTGAAAAAGAAATTAATAATAAATTTTGTATCCTGTATTTGCATTTGAGGCTTTGTATTTCTCTATGGTTACTGGTATTTTGCCGTAGTTAATGCTGAATTTTTATATTTATTTTGGATGTGTACTTGATTAATCATCATAAGAAAGGTATATTATTAAATTTTGTATTGGTGAGATTATTTTGGGGTAAACAATATTTATAAACATGATAGAATTGGGAAATAGGTTGTAGATTTTGTTTAAATGAGATGATTTACATTTGTCAGAGGGAATTGACTATAAAATTTTTCAAGAGAACATTTAAATTGGTTGAAATGAAATATATATATTCTGAAGATGATGTGCTTCAGTTTAATTCGAATTTGAATGGGATAGAAAGTAGTAATAGAAATATTTTTCCAGCTGAGAGCTGAATTTAAGCATTTTCAGAATTAATATACAATTTTTTGTGTCTGGATGGTATTTTTTTTAAAGCGCTCAAACAAGGCATTGTATATTTGATACATTTGTACCTATAATACTGGTTAATAAAACATCTTTCGTTTCCTTTAGTGTTTCTCTTATTGATTCAAGTCAATTATAAATTTTGGGTGGAAAACATTGGTACCTTAGGTCAATCAGCAAGAAAAAATTTGAATTTTGCCATCTAGTGCCTCCTGTCCCCCTCTCTAATTTCCACTTGCCTGTTATTCACTGGATCTGATAATAATGTCAACCTAAAGGAGCACAATTATGCCATCTTAAAATAAAAATAAGCTTAACCAGTGAAAGCATACTATTGTCTGAGCAATTTTTTGATATTTTTTAAGTGAATTGGAATATCAGCCTCGAAATAGTACTGTTAATCTTAGAATATCTTTATAAGTCTCCAAGGCGTAATTAACAGTAGTCGGCCATGGTAAGCATGCATTGGTGAAAATTTGCTACCTATAAGACTAACAGGTAAATTCCCATTGATACATGTGACAAATTATGCTATCTTTTGTGACAGTTCAAGACCTTGATGATGTAACAACAATAGGTTTTATGAATACTTTTAGGGAGGAGGGGGAGGGGCTGTAATTTGCCCTGTTACATCAGCCTGGTCATTGCTGAATATTTTTCCATTACATTGTCAGTCTTTGTTAGGCCAATAAGAAGCAGAAAGGCAAGAAATAAGTAATATAGTTTATTTTTTTATAGCATGGATTGATTGTAACAAAATTTGTTTTCATATACACCAAGTCAAAAAAAATACAAAGAACTATATCATGCATAACTCACTTCTTTAATCAAGATGTCACATGCTAATTGTGTTATATATTTTATTATAAAAAAGAAGTGAGTTATACCATAATAAATTTCATTGTGTTTTTTTGTTAAATGCGCTTCACTTTTAACTGTCATTTAAATCTTATTAAACTCATTGTATCATTGAATTCCTAATAGTTTTTCAACTGGTGGATAGCGCCAGTCATCTTCTTCTAAAGTCTTTACTAAATCTTTTAACTCTTTTAATCTTTCTTCATGTGCTTCTACAAAAAGATATGGAAATGGAAATGGAAATGGATTAAGTCAAATCTAATAGACACAATTTTGGAAATCAGTGTAAATCAGCAAAACTGACATTAAGTGTGTACGGTACTGCAGGAGTTTGCTGTTTTACACATAACGAGGTTTACAACATTTTCTTCATAATAACAAGCAGTTAGTTGTTCAGCAATCTGTCAAGACCAGGGTATAAAATGCTACTTAACGTACTGAAACGTACCTTTCATTCCATCTTTAATGAAAACTTCTGTATCTCTTTCTAACTGAAGTTTACTTATTATATTTATCAGTTTATTAGAATCTGGAACAACAAAAATAGTATAAAATGAAATAAAAAAATTTATAAAGTTTTTATACTTTGATCTGGAGTGTAGCAATGAGTTTACTCTTAATCTCCAGCCAATGGAAACTGATCTAACATTTCACCTAAAGCTGCGCCCTAAAGGTATGGTTTGGGTTGAAGATATTATTATCTGGGCATAGATTAGACAAAAATCGCGTCAGACATTACATTTGGATCTTAGTTGTCAGCGCTATATACTTAAATACACTATGTGATGTCTCGCAAAATCCTACGGTCAATAGAGCGATAAGCAAACACAAGACGAGTCCAGTTTACAACCAATGTGGGCTCACATATCACAACGAAAATTTGGCCTTTTAACAGTGTCGGGGGCATAGGCATAATATAATTTAAGAAGCGAGATGGCCTACTTGATGAAGATGATGACCTCATATTTTCAGGAACAGGGGTCATAAACAAAGCCTTCCTGATGTGGTCCCCATTAGCTTTTGGTGTTCTTGTTGTATTTGACATGGTTATCTAAAAGTAATTTTACATTTTATCACAACTATTTCATAAAAATCGAAAAGCTTTTTTGTCTAATTTTATGTTGTTTACATCGCAAATCCAAACTAACCTCCTCAACGAAAAATCGATAGAAGGGGAGATAATTTCTAGGACTCTTTCTAAACTTTTTATTCAGAGAGTTGCAAAGGTCAAGGTTGCTGTTCTTGTCAGAAGAGACAAATGAACAGGATAGACTTCCCTAAATGCGATAAATTTAGGTAAGTATAGATGTAGCCTCTAAGATACAGAGAGAGGTATGCGGTCACCTGTGAAGAGATCATAGTTTAGAATGTTAAAGAAAGGCAGTAAACGGCCTTGGAGTATCCTTATCTCTCATTCTCAAGTTTTTGTTGAGGTGAGGAGGTTTATCTCGTCACTCTCTCAATTTTCTTTTCAAACGCATTCTCCATTCCTGTCAAATATTCATCATAAATTCTGGCACTGAGACAACTAAATTGTTCAATCAACCAAGCCATATTGTCCTAGACATGTACAATGATTGGCTTCAGGCACTTTGATACCTGAGGCTAATTGACATGATTAGAGAAGTGGTCAGTGGTCACTTGTCATGTCACAATTTCATAAGCTACAAGTTTTTATTGCTTTCACCTTTTAGTTACTCATGACCTTTCTAGGAGTGACTTTTGTATTTAACATTGACATCATTGGGATCAATATTGGTTTAATTCAGAAAGTAATTGTTGTTTTTCTGTAGCCCCCTGCACCAAGGCCTATTTACGAAAGAATATTATATTTATTCATAGGCCTCTAGAACCTGGAGTTTTAAAATCTTACTCTGTTGTTATGCGATCTTCAGACATCTTGACTTTTTCAGTCTACTGAAGTTTTATGAATTACCAGTACTTATTGTAAGCTATATACATTTTTGCTAATGTCATTGTTGTTTTTATTTTTAAATTTTAATTACCATAAACATATTTATTTTTCAGAATAATGAGAGATAAACTTTCGAGATCAAAAACAGCGAAAATCATTTAATAAAAGAAGCCGGATTAACTTAATAAATTTACATCTATCTTCTAAAGTTTTGGAGAAAAGTCTACATTCTGACAAGATGGGCAGATGTTGCCGCCATATTGGAACATGGAGACAGATATTTCATTGGGGACCAATTTTAGCTTTATCAGTGATATTTATGATTTCTATTGTGGCTGTAGAATGTGACTTGATGTATTGGCCACCTTATACTATAGGAGGTGTCCTCAATCTAGCTGTATTTCTGACCTGGGTTTCATTGACATTATATAATTATTTTCGAGCAGCCTTATTGGGACCAGGATTTGTGCCTTATGGATACATACCTGTAAGTATAAGTAATAAAATCACAAAATTTGTCAGTTTTCTCTGCTTGCAAATTCCTCAGTTGCTGATTTTTGTATTACCTATCTGTGTGTGAATAAATGAACAGTTATTTTCCAAATGGACTTAAAAATGCATAGTCTCATCAATGTCCATATATTGTATAAATTTTTGAATTGTATAGGAATTTTTTTTTTCATTGTGCTCTATATTTGATTTTTTGAAATCTGATATTTTATGTTTTAAGGAAAATGAGGCAGATAGAAGTAAATTACAATATTGTCAGTTTTGTGAAGGATATAAAACACCTAGATCTCATCATTGTAGAAAGTGTGATAGGTGAGTAGGCTTCCTGTGGATGGAAATCTCACGGTAATGCAAATTGGTTGCATATGATAGCATTGTAGTAGGGCAAATGTTATAGGTTTTCTAACATTATATTTTACATGTGAGGTCAACAATTTTGCAAAAATATAGAATTAGTGAACTATTAAAAAAACACAAGTACAAACGATTCACACCGCAAAACAAAACTCGAAGTAAGACACAGAAGAATTAAAAGGAAATTTTTTTTAAATTAATTGAGAAGATAAAATGTGATTAGTAGAATAATGCTATATATATTGATATTTTAGATGTGTTATGAAGATGGACCACCATTGTCCATGGATCAATACTTGCTGTGGTCATTTAAACCATGGTAGTTTTATATGGTTTTTATTTTTTGCCCCATGTGGTTGTATACATGCACTTTCCATTCTCATTCCTTCCATTTATAAAGCTTTAAACTTTGTAAGTATCTTTATTTTATTTTGTTATTTTTTGATTACCAGTATTATTTCTCAGTCTTATAATAATATTATAGAATTTCAACATATAAAGGGTTGACTCTTAGGGCCGTATGCAGCGCTCTTACCTTGACTAAAGTTGAACTTTGGCTAAAGTCGAACTTTGGTCAAAGTTTAGTTACTTCCAAACAGCTATAATTCTCTGAGACTGCTTGTGCTAAGCACGACCAAACTTGAGTTCTTTCAACTAGTAAAGCAGTATTTACAGATCTCTATCCTTTACATTCTGTTCAAATAATTCAACACTGTGATGTTCAAGATTTAAGTCAACTGTTTCTTAAATTGACCCCAATGTGTATACCTCTCTTAAAGGCTTTAATAATTTTCTGTTACAGCACTGGTATTACCATTATAGACGTAATGAACCATTAGTAGAGTTAGGTGTTTATGGGTTTATTGTATCAATGTTTGCTATAGGACTAGCTATAGGGGTTATAGTTGCTGTAGGCATGTTATTTTATATCCAGGTAAGACTCTATTTGATGCTTGTATCAAACATTTAGAACAAACCTGATTGTCAAGTTGTACCTTATTGGATATTGAGGTGTTCTGTAGCACAGATTGTTAGAGTGCTAGAATTTATACATGATGTCATTTGCTTGGTAATGTCATACAAATGGTATTTGTGGCTTCTAATCTCAGCATCTGGTCATGTTTCCTCATTTCTTCAGTCAACCCAGCTGTAAATGGGTACAAATAATCTGGGAAAGATATATGCATAGATAGACTAGCTAGTAGAAAGATCCTCATGAACCTAAGTTGTTATCCTTGGTTGTTTCCAAATTAAAAATAGTTGGAAAAGTATTAGGTTGTCCTAAAAAAGTGGCATTATATTTTATTCTACAATTAATTAAAAGCTCCATTTTGTACCATCAAATCATGGCATGTGAATGCCAAAAGACAAATTGACTCTTCTAAACAAGTTGGACTCCTGTAGAACCTATTTTCAAGCTAACAACACTTTCGATATTGAATTGAAAATAACTGTTTTTTTGTTAAATTGTTTCAGTTTAAAAGTGTGTGGAAGAATGAAACTGGAATAGAATCTTGGATTATAGAAAAGGCAAGTAGATCTCACAAAATATTATTTGAAAGTTCTATCATCGGACATGAATGGCATATCGTCACTGTTATGGGCAGACTCAAAAAGGTGTAATTTTATGGGAGATGCCCCAATCCATTTTTAGATCTCTAAAATTTTCTCCATGACAAAAGCCAAAACATTTGGTATCAATACAAAGCTGAACCATTAATGAATCCATCAAGACATTTCTGGATATTGTCCAATGTCCAAGTGCCTTACTCAGTACCACAATATAATTGAAGGGTAGGCTTAACCTAAGGATTTAAGTTGAAGAGTACTGGAGAGTTCCAGTTGAACGAAGCCGGTCTGCTGTACACACCAAATCAAGGATGTCCTATAGGAGAGTTATCTAGATATAGATAATAACTAAGTATTTCTTTAGCCTTTCAGTATAAAAAAGTGATCATAAGTTTAAATTATATTTCTAGGCAGAAGATAGATTAAGAGGGGAAGATGAAACTGAAGAGTTTATTTATCCCTATAATCTAGGATGGAAAGATAACCTACGTCAAGTATTTACCTTTAAAGGTCGTCCTAAATCTGATGGTTACACATGGGAAGTTGTAGATGGCTGTGACCAATTTACTTTTACAGTATGTATTATAGTTTTATTATTATCTATACAAATTTTACTGGTTAATAACACTGTGTAATATATATCTATATTGCAATATGACTTTTGATGACCTTAATCTTAGGATCAATGCATTTTTATATGCCCACATCTCTCTATGTGGTCATATATTGTCAGCATCCCCATCCGTCTGTCCGTCCTTCAACATTTGCTTGTAAATGCTCTAAAAACTAGATTTTTTGATGGAATTAAATGAAATTTGGTATGTGTATACATATTCATAAAAGGAAGATCAAGTTCGAATTTGATCTATTTTCGACCGTTAGAAGCAGAGTTATTGATCTTGGCCCAAAATCTTGAATATTTACCATCCACATGCCGTGGTGGGCGTATTAGCTGTCGTCCACTATCTTATATCAATGTAAGTCATATTTTCAGCTTTAAGATCTAATGAAAGATATTCCAAGTCTTAGAATTTTTTTCAATTTGATTCCCTTTGAGTTAAGTACTGTGGTAGCTGTTACTTACTCTTCTCCAACTCTTGATGCCACTTGCAACCAGAATTGTAGACTTATTTTCAGAGGATTCACAAGGTTGAGATTATTTTTATAAGTATATCAGGAATAATACCCTTTGTCTTAAAGGGAGGAGACAAATTGCCATATCCATGTTTCTGTGATGACTTTTACCCATTGCACACTGCATTGCTTTGCCTATTATCATTAGGTCAATCAGTATCAGAAAAGGATTTAAAACTCCCATTTCATCTCATTTTTAGGTAGAACAAATAAAACAGAAAGCTGAGAAGAGAGAAAGAACTATAATGTACAGTATAACTAAGAAATTTAGTGGTGCTATGATACCATTATGTCATGGCTGTAAAGTTATGTGTTGTTTTCCCTGTACTGATGAACCTAGAATAGCTCTAGATATAGGTGATAAAGTACTGGTTACTAGGTGGAAAAAGTAAGTAAACCCTCCCTTAAAGGGATTGTAAAGAGGTTTTCTACAAAAAATTTATGTATATCGGAGACTCATCCCATTTTCAATCAAAACTAAGCGTTTTATGATGTCACCCCTGGGAAATTTGCTCGTATCACATAAGACTTTTGTGGGAGTGATGTCACAAACACATAGTTTTAGTAGAATTGCTAGAACTACAGATGTCTGATTGAAAATTGGAAAAGTGCAAATTGATGCTATCATTGTCCCTGATACACATATACAATTTAGAAAATCTCTTTTAAGCTAAAATTAATACTTTTTGAGGGATGCATTGAGCAAGTTAAATAATGTAAATGACTAACTTATAGAGCTTATAATTAGCCATCAATAACACTTTCCAGAATGAAATTCCAGTGTTGGTGCTTGTCAAATTGATTAAATTCATACTGAGGAAAGTGACAATTGCTATTTTATCCATGTAAAATCTCTAAAGGAAATGTAGTCTTGGATATCTTATTGTAAATCTTTATTTATTCTCTATTTTCAGACACTGGTTATATGGGACTAAAATCATTAAAGATCAAGGTAAAATATTCTTTTTCTCTGCATGGAATTTATTTCTGATGATTTTAAAGGGACAGGTGCGCCATTTTGGGGGGAATGATTTTAGTCTTAAATATATGTAAATAGTCTTCAGAAGTACTAGCAATGTACGAAAATCGCACGAAAATTGCATAATTCCTTTAAAATACTTCAAACTAGGAATTTTACTCAGTATTTCTATAGTTGTCTTTTCTATATATCACAGAGTATCTTAAATTGACGAGTCGTCATTTTAACATTCAAACGTGGTTAATTCTGGACACACATGGATATGAAGTCCCAAATTTCGATGGTGAGCTGTAATCACTATTACTGATGGGCTTGGCTAAAACAAAAACGTATCTGAGACTAAAGTATGATTGGTCGAAAAAAAAGGCAAACCTGTGCATCTTGTTAATTGAAACATTTCAAATTTTAAATATGATATTTGATTTCTATGACTTGGTTTTTTTTTCAGAAAATAACAAAAGAATAAGAGGATGGTTTCCGAGACATTGTGCTGCAGAAATTATTGGTGATACATATATCAATGGCTCCAGTATTACTAATGGTAAAAAAGTGGATTAATGCATTCAGAGGTTTGGTCATGCCTGAATACCTATTTATTATGTTGAAGGAAGGAAATCTTACTTTATTGTAGTTTAAATGAGGTCAGAAGCTTGCTGACTGAACTATTCTGTTATCATCCAGAAGATTTTCATTTTTGATGTACAGGCTAGAAATTATATTTTTGTATGTTTAAGGGATTTTAAAAGGGTTTTCTAAACCTTATATATGTATCTGGGACATTGATAGCTTCAATTTGTACCATTCCATTTTTCAGTCAGACATCTGTGGTTCCTGCAATTCCACTAAAACTATATGTTTTATGATGTCACTATCGCAATGGGCCTAATATATAAGCAAATTTTGTAGTAGTGACGTGATCAAGTACTTAGTTTTAGTGGAATTGCAGGAACCTCAGAGATCTGACTAAAGATTGGAAAAATGGAAATTGATGCTATCAGTGTCCCCAAACACATGCAAAGTTTAGAAAACCTCTTTACAATCTCTTTAAGTATTTATCTAGGCTACAATTACTAGATTGAATAAAAATCTACAGACACAATCCACTTTTAAAAACAAAATTATTTTGTGTCATTAAAATATTAGCTCTCAGTATAATAAAAATATGATTTGAGCTCTTTTTGGTATGATTCAAGATTTTGGCAAAATTTTCGCTGTTATTGTTGAGAATTTGAGATTTTTGTATTATATTTTAAATGTGTTGGCTAGTAAGAATTTATGTTTTAAACACTGTGTATGAGATCCTCCAAGCACAGCACAAATGTCAAGGATAGAAACGTGTTCACATCAGGAGCTCTAAGCATGGACATTCCGCTTTACTTTTAGATAGAATTAATTGTTAAACAGACAAACCACAAGCAATTTATAATGGTATAACAGTTATACTATAACTCATATATAATTAAGGAAATTAATTGTACAGCTGGTGTTTATTATAGCTTTTTTCTGCTGATGTGAACACATATCTGATTGACTATATGGGCCGAGCTTGGTATAGATTGGAAAATATCTTCGTTGCATTTTGAATTTTGTAACACAATTGATTCAACATTCTTGTGTATTATTCTCGTAAAACTTAATTTAAGATGAATTTAATATTACCACCATCTGATTGGTCAATCACTAAAAATCAGTTTTTTATTGATTTTTATTATCCAATCAAATAGCAGTATTTATTAAAAGCTGGATTTGATCTTAGTTAAGTGTTAAAGAATAAGGCCATTGGTAGTTAGAATTTGCACATATTGGGATTTTATACTGATTTTAAAGGTACATCTTCTCATTTTTCATAAATTCTTCACTGTAATTACCATTGTCTTCAACTTTATGTTTCACGTTTTAGAATATAAACTTATAAATTATTACAATACCCACTTTAAAGAGACAGATTCGCCATCCGTTTGACCAATCGTACCTTACTCTCAGAAAGTGAATATTTTTAACTAAGCCAATCAGTTAGTGTTCACAACTCACTGGAGAAATTTATGCCTTCAAATCCATGTGTGTCCAGAATTATCCGCGTTTGAAAGTTAAAATGACGACTCATCTTTTCTTGAGACTCTGCAATATTTAGAAAAGAAATAAAAGTGAAATTTCTAGTTTTGAAATATTTTTGAAGGGATTATGCGATTTTTGTAGTTTTAGTATTTCTGAAGACTATTTACATATTTTCGAGATCCATTGAAATGGTGAAACTGTCCCTTTAAGACAATGTGGTTTGATATTTTATTATTTTGCAAAAACATTTGACTTACTGGCAAATACAGCTGAAATGATATTACCAGTTTAATATAGAATTCCATTTATTAGGGAACCATGACTCATCAGTCTGTTGTTTATTTTGATGTTTGTTAGCTTTACATAGTTTCAGTTATTATATTTTAGATATTCAATATAGTCCAAGAATTTCAATATGCAATTATGTATATATTAGATAATTTATTTATTATATATATATATATGTTTGTATTATGTCTTATACAATAACAAAATATTTTCACTGTTAAAATAGTGCTTTACATATCAATTGTAGAGTTGTATAGAAATATTAAAATAAAACCTGAAACATGTTATTACTGAGTACAACATGTTTATTTAGGTTCTGTTTTAATATTTCTTATGTCTTATATACAATAACAAAATATTTTCACTGTTCAAATAGTGCTTTTGATGTATACATCAATTGTAGCGCTATATGGAAAAATATTAACACCACTGTTAAAATAGTGCTCAATACATCAATTGTAGAGAGATATAGAAATATTAAAACGACTGTTAAAATAGTGCTCAATACATCAATTGTAGAGAGATATAGAAATATTAAAACGACTGTTAAAATAATGCCCAATACATCAATTGTAGAGCTATATAGAAATATTAAAACGACTGTTAAAATAATGCCCAATACATCAATTGTAGAGCTATATAGAAATATTAAAACGACTGTTAAAATAATGCCCAATACATCAATTGTAGAGCTATATAGAAATATTAAAACGACTGTTAAAATAGTGCCCAATACATCAATTGTAGAGTGATATAGAAATATTAAAACCACTGTTAAAATAGTGCTCAGTACATCAATTGTAGAGTGATAGAGAAATACCACTGTTAAAATAGTGCCCAATACATCAATTGTAGAGAGATATAGAAATATTAAAACCACTGTTAAAATAGTGCTCAATTCATCAATTGTTTTATAGAAATATGGAAATATTTTCAGGACCATGTTTTTCTAAAAAAAAAAAAATTCCGCATCGTATTGGGGACACATCAATTTGCACCATTCCGATTTTCAATCAGACAACTGTGGTTCCTGTAATTCCACTAAAACTTATCACAAAAGATGCTTGTATCACTTAGCAATTAGTGACATCATCGAACACATAGTTTTAGTGGAATTGAAGTTGAAAACCACTTTACAATCTCTTTAAAGCTTTTCCAAGACAAAAAAAAGAAATCAAGAATTGTAGTATTTTCCATATGCTACTCATGTAACCAGTCTGAATTATTTATATGATTATAGAATAAATACATGTACATACAAAGCATTTTGAATTTTGGATTTGATGAATGATTTTGTAATTTGCATTGTGTTCATTATAAATGTTTAATGTTAATAGTTTAATTCCACCACAGATGTCTATACATATCATTGATTTTATCAATTGCAAATTTTATACTTGTTGATTGAGACAAATAAATTATATTCTTGACATACAGTAGCTCTTATCAATTTTAAAATATTTTATTATACGCCCACATTCTCTCTATGTGGACGTATATTGTCGGCACCCCTGTCGATCCGTCCGTCCGTCCGTCAACATTTGCTTGATGGAATCAAATGAAATTCGGTATGTGAATACATATTCATAAAACGAAGATCAAGTTCGAATTTGAGCTATTTTCGGCCGTTAGAAGCAGAGTTATTGCCCTTGCCCCAAAATCTTGAATATGCTATTACTCTCTTAGTTTTGAACCGATTTTGATGAAACTTAAAATGAATGTTTCGTTTTTACCATCCGCATGTCGTGAAGGGCGTATATGGCTGTGGTTCATTACTAATAGAATGTTGTGTGTGGGCATGATTTGTTAGCAGACCATAAACTATAAATATATCTTTAATGAAGGGATATACAGAATTCATCTAACTGTTTGCCCGACGTTGAAAGTACTGGTAACTCTGAAACCAATTGAGATGCAGCATTCTGGTTTATTGAACCATGTAGAACCAGACATGAGCTACCCACCCTGCAAAGCACAACCTTGTCGCATCTACGGTTTGCCCACAGTAGCGGTTTTAGTAAGTCATGTAACAGCCGCCTTTCCACAATTTATTAAATTCATATCTCTTGTTGCAAACTATCACGATTTGAACTGTTTTACCAAATAGTCTATTTTGTTTTATCTATCTGAAATAAAAGGACGATCCCCAATACAGTTTCACTTTAATAGCTTCGGAAATACATGTACATTGAAATCCACTAAAAATCAAATTTTATATAGAATTTGTTCAGGTTTAGTGTTAAGATGAAATGAGAATTTAACTCATAGGTCTAGAAAGCACGGGCCTAGGTCCGAAGTAAGAACTATTTTTATTTAGTGCTCGCTAAATAAGCTTGATTTCCTTCTCTGAACGTGAAGGAGGATCACAGGAGATGTTTTTTGATGGGAAATGGTTAGTTAATATACCCAAATTCATTTTAGAAAATTTCTGCACAATCCCATTAGTTCCACTCACTGTGAACCCAAAAGGAGTTCGAATTTAGATCTCAAGTTCGACATTAAAAAAAAAGAATAACGATAGCGGTATGTGAATTTTAAATAAAAATAAAATTACAGAGTTTATTTCCATTAAAAAATATAACAATAAATAGGCTACATTTAAAAAATTAGTCATGTAGTGTCAAAAGTTAAAACTATAAGCTTATATTGTGACCAAGGCACTTTAAAGGCATCCCGTCCTCTACTTTCATTATTCAAGTTCACAACCCAGTATGTTATAGCATTCGGATATAAATCACAAACTCTCTTAAAGCGGGATTCCCACAGAAATCTTATTTCAATGTACATCGACATTATTCTTAAAGGTGGATGTCTGCATATATTTCGTCCCGTTGAAAAATCCTGATGTGCATTCAATCTGATTAAAATGCTTAATAATATCTTAATGTTTCGCTTCGAGTCATTTCTGAAGGTTCCTGCAAGTTCCTGCATTTTAAAAGAGCATCATTTCCAATCAGAATTTAAATCTTTTTGTTCACTCTTTACAAGAGAAGTTATCTTTAATTATGAAACATTTTCAACTTTCAACGACGAATACGACCCCAAGTCTTCAGACTGAGCAGTAACACATATTACAGTCGAATTCATTTCAATGAACAACATTTTTCTAAGCGACCTCGCTTATCCTCTTTTTTCTCTGTCGTTTTTTTAATGTGTGACCAATGAAAAACTCTTTCAAAGATATAGGCCCCCATACAGATTCCAATAAATACAACTATTCCTAAAACACTGCCTATTACATACATTATTCCTAAAGCTGAAAAACAAGGAGAATGTATCTTTAGTTTTAGTTTTCAGAGGACACGGTCCGGAATATTGGCACCCGTTTTCGCAGCAATTCAAAGAAATTTGCAGTTGCAGTTGCAGTAGACAAAAAAAAATGGGCTACAATATATAAAGAATCTTAAAGCTATCATGCTCTAAAAGAATAATCTAGACTTCAAGATTATAGCAAAAATATCTAGTCCATTTATTGGGGTAACATCTTAAATAAATAAAAAAATACTTACTCATATCTAATCCTTTACAATGACCCTCATCACAATCTGCATCATCACATCCACAATCGTTGAAACCATCACATAAATAGGATGCCGATACACATTCTTTATTGGTACAGCTCAGTTCGTAAGATTTACATTCTGTAAATAAGCATTATCACTGTGAATATATGAGATCATTGTGATACATCAAAAAATGATAGTAATAGCCTAGTATTACATTAATCATGATTAACGTTGGACTAACTTTTTTGTACGTATTTTGTGTCATGGTAATAGACTATAAAATTGATCACGATATCGCATGGATCATGATATCACTTTCATCATTACGGATGCAGTACCAAGATGCTCTGAAAAGACAGGAGTACCAGGTGACATTGGAAAAGAAGACGTTCCAAAGCAACCGAGAATAAAATTTCCAGCGAAGTCTGGTCGCCATTTAAGTAACAGCTGGTATGATCGATCATGGATAGATATCATATCACATTGATCTTATTATAGCATGGATAGGTATCATAAAACATTTCCCTTATTATGGGTCATTGCTATATAACTTTCATCGTTACGAATAGCCTGGATAGATATCATATCACATTGATCTTTCTATGGGTCATTGCATATAACTTTCATCGTTGCGAATAGCATGGATAGATATCATATCACATTGATCTTTCTATGGGTCATTGCGATAGAACTTTCATCATTGCGATATAGCTTGGACAGATATCATATCACATTGATCTTATCATAGCATGGGTCACTGCAAAATAACTTTGACCATTACTATAACACCGTAAGTGATAGATATCAATATTTTAATCATATTATTGTAACATAACATATCTAACCTGTAAGTGGTGAAGTAATATTATTGATAACAGAACCTGAAATATAAAGGAAGAGGTGTGAACATTTTCTTAACAATTCATTTTATTGATTAATTTCAAAAAAGGCGAAATATGTATTGAATGTCGGAAAAGAAAATTCAGAGGAGTGGCAAAGAAACAACAACTCAAAAGAAATTACAAAACCACTATCAAAACATTATCAAAGCACTATCAAAGCGTGTTTCTACTAACGGCATAACTTGATTACAATTCGTTTTAACACAGAGATCCTTTTGAACACAACGCATCTTTATGGTAGCTGTTTAGTCTTTCAACTACATAGTAGCTTTAAGTGTGTTTTTCCAAGACATCTATACACTTACCTGCATAAACGGTTGTATAGTTAGCAAAGAGTCCAGCTCCTGCGCCCCCGTTATCACTTTGAAATAATATCCACAACCATCTCCCGGATGATCTCACACGGTGAGAAGATAAAAATGAACATGTTGAAACGTGTAGATTGGATATTACACTACCATCTCGAACCTATAATTTAAATACAGTTTTACTATCTTCTTTCTGTTCTAAGGGATTAGGGTGTAAGCATACAGACAATTCAATGAGGATTCGTATCACACACATCAAGGAAAGTGTTCGTCTAAATTTGGAAATTTAAACGTCATTTATAACAAACTAATGGATTTTATGTCCAAAAAACTTGGACTCTTATTATGGTGGTCTTGGGTTCTTATCTCGGTCGGCGTGTGAAAGACTGGTGACCTTAATAAGTCATCTTTCCTTATTATTCCAGTCGACCCAGGTGTGTAGTGCGGATAATCAGGGAAAGATCAATACCAGGAAGTTTTGCCAAGGAACAGCAGGTAGGAAGGATCTTTGACAACAGATGATGTTATTGTAAAAGGATGCTTCTTTCTTTGGTTCTTCTGGAGTCCACTGGGAACATTAAGATTCTCTTTAATCAATGACAATGGGATGATTAAAAAACCCAATGCTAGAATATGTAAAACAACCAATTTACCTGAATAAAATCTAAACAAATTGAGTTAACACTCTGACCACCGAATGTAATATCAATATCTATTTGGTACATACTCGGTGCCTCCATGATCCAGATACATCTGGTATTATTAGGGTAGGGATCAGGATAATTTGGTGATGACAGACTTCCAATTGATGACGTAGTGAGGGATATGAAAGATCCACATCCTGCAAAATATAACGTTTATTACGTCAGCAAATACACATTCAAAACATAAGTATTATCTTATTCAATTGGCTGAAAGGGACAGATTTGCCATTTTTGGGCGTTGATTTGGGCCTTGAATATAACTACATGTAAAATAAGAAATGGCGAACTTTTAAGTTTCCAGGCATATATTGTGTGGATATTAATGATATTAGACGTTATGAATGATAGCATTGCAGGATGATTTCGTAACGCTCTGGAAAGTTATACAATACTTTTTTGCATTGTAAAGGGGTCAAACGTCGGGTGGTAAACGACAATCAGCAATGAACTTGAAAGGTATTATTTGAATTTAAAGATAATCATGAACTTACCTTCAACATGTGAAATGATCAAAATGATTAAGAAAATGAAACCTAAAAAAGAAATAAATATGCATTGTACATAATATATAATGACGTCATTACTGAAGTTAAAACCCTTTATTCTAATTAACTGCAGACGAACCCGAAGTCAGAATTCAATCTTGAAAATGATACAGGTTGAAGGAATTAAACTCTTTAATAAAGTATAAAAATCAGACGAAAGTTTAGCCAATTCTAAGCGAGTCTGAATCTACCAGGCTTCTATATTTTCTAGCAGTAATTAAAATGCATACTTTGTATGGTCGCTATAGAGACAATCTTTAAGACTTTGGCACAAATTATGCAAAGAAACTCTGGGGAATTTCAGACAACAGTTTTTTGTCCTGTAATGCTTGAAGGAAATTCAAAATGAAATGAGTTTTACGTCCTACTTTTCTGCTCCGTATGGGCTAATGAAGACGGGCAACGCCAGGATGCAATGGGGGAAATTTTGCCAACTGTCGTGGGATCTTGAACGTGCACAGCCTGTAGCACACGGGGCCTCGGTTTATTGTCCCATCCCAACGACTAGACGCTTTTTCCATGCCAGCCCCTCTAACCTGCATCACTGACAGGAGGAAACCGGGTTAAAAAAAATCCGAAGGTCTCATCTCGACCTATGCCGGGATTGAACATTGGACCTGCAGGTTATCGAGTAATCGTCTGACTCACTGAGCCACCGCGGCTTCCAGAAAGAAATACAAGACAGATGACATAGATGATGCTATATCGCTTTGTTCTCCAGATAAGTTCAAAGAATACCTTATATTGAAATATAAGTTGTTGTATACTACATTTGAGATCAATCATTTCTTATGCCATGCGAAATCATTGAGAGAACCTTACTACATTGTACTATAGCAGAAATTCTAAAACTTAAAACCACATAGTAGTCATGGACGGGTAGCGTTATATTTATGGAATAAGACAAAAGCTATATCTAAACTTGTAATTTGATAATTGAAGTACTGGAGCAGAACGTTCAGATATTAATTTTTGATTGAACATTGATCGTCTGCTAATTGTAATTGTTCATTTTACTATGATCTTATACAGAAGTCAATAATACAATCATATGTTACTGCATCTCTAATAGGAAAGTATACAGATATTTTTCTACAAGTAGATCCATGGTTTCATAACATACTAAGGCACTTTGACACTGAGGCAATTTTTGACGGCGACTGATTTCAAGGAATTCAAATGAAATGTACAAACATTCGTGACGTCACTAATCTTGATATTCCACACAAAAAATAGGTGACGTCAAAATATCCGTACTGTAAAGATAACGATATCGACGTATTTCTTTTTTTTTTTTTCATTTAATGTTTTGAATATTTAGGGTGTTGGAACGAAATTCGCAATTCCGGAGTCAGGGCTATTATTGACTCTTGCTTGAATTTGAATCATATAAAAAGACCTAAATAGAACCAATGCCGTAATATGGCGTGCGCGTGCACGTGCGTCAAAGCAGGCTATTCAAGAAGGTTGGATCGGCTATAATAATATATATAATCACGAAACTAGCCAAAAAGTAAAAATTTCTTACCATAGAGCAATTCTTTAGTTATATCCATTCCTCTGACTAGAAAACGGTACAAAATAATATCTTGAAATCCTAATCCTTACACCGTATGAGTCTACATTCCACCAATACCACCTTTCTTATACACTGAGTTTTACATATTTACCGTTAAAAACCTCTATATTGGTTTATTAAACAGACATTAAAAGCACATTTCAATAACGATCTATTATAAAAGGGTCTGACCTCAAAATTACCAAAGGACATAAATAATATACATAAACAGTTAATCCTGAACAGAGGCACCTTGGTGAGTGGAAAATCCGAATAAAGTCGCTGAGAAAAACAAGACTATTCACTCGATTATGAGCCTATCAATAACGGATTTCATTGACTTAATGTTGATAAGCTATTCTTATGAATGTTAAAAGACACGAATTCGCTTGATTGAACACCGATCAGCTTTGTATCGAGGTTGACAAAGCGTATCAAAAACAAATAAACGCGATATTACATAGATACCACGGTGTATTATAGATTATACTGGTATCTCTTAATCCTAATCCGTCGCTTATATATCAGAAAGATATATATTCTTACATGGTCCTTTTATAACATAAGTGGGAATTGATCTATCCAGATATACACGCTTTAAAAATTCCCTCGTCTTGTTATGATGTGGGCTATTTTTCTTCTAGTTCAATTCTATATTTATTTTGTCCGTGTCCAAAAACCTCACGATATAAAAAAATTTTTGAGCAACACATTCGGCATATTTTGATATTATTTACGCTATGCTTTAAAAGGATTGCTATTCGCAAAATATTCTTTATCGCATAAGGCCCTTCACGGCATCATCAAACACTTATTGCGAATATTATACGATTGACCAAACTTGTTAACACATCGAGTAATTAACAACATTAAGAAGCTAGCACTTAATAAAAGTGTTTGTAACACCATTTATAAGGTAGGTGGAGCCTTCAAGCTTCGCTGTACCATTGCTGTCACTTTCTTTCATAAGACGTAGACTGCTATGTGTATCGGGGACACTGATAGGATCAATTTGCACCATTCCAATATTCACTTAGACATCTGTGGTTCCTGCAATTCCACAATTAGCAAGTGTAGCAAAATTATGTTTTTACCACATAAGGCCCTTCGCGATTAGTGACGTCATCAATCACTTATTCATTTTGGAATTGCAGGAACTACGGACGTCTGATTTACTATCTCTTTAATAATGTTGTCAGTTGTATACCTATTAGTGTATGAATATATGACGACTATTCCAGATTATCAGATATGCATTATCAGATTATCAGATTATCGGTATATGATTATGGTCATGGTCGGATCATCGACGAACTCATTGAAAAATATATTGAATAACGAAACACAGTTATGGTATACTACCCCTGAGTTTATTGTACTCAGCGTTCCAACAGTTTAAATGGCCTTAAAGGGACAGATTCGCCATCCGTTTGACCAATCGTACCTTAGTCTGAAACAGATTTGTATAAGCTAATCAGTAATAGTATTCACTGTCAAAATTTGTATCTTCAAACCCACGTGTGTCCAGAATTGTCCACATTTAAAAGTAAAAAAATGACGACTCATCTTTTGTGGAGACTCTGTCCTATATAGAAGACAAACATAGAAATGTAAAGAAAATTCCAAGTTTGAAGTATACTTGAAGGAATAATGCGATTTTCGAACAGATTTAGTGCTTCTGAATGCTATTTTCATAAATCAACCCCAGTTTTGCGAGAATCTTTGAAGAGTGTTGTATTATATATATCATATCGACTATAAAACTAACACTCGGCCACAAACAAAGACCTATTGTGCAATACAACTACCAACGACCGATAGGGTCAGGATAGGTAGTCAAATACCTATTGTCCAAAGATATTTAATTATTTATATTTTATTACTTGACCACCAGTTCAACTACCTGGGTTACTCTATCTCATCTGATTCCAAGATCGACAACAGACTCGCCAAAGTAAACAGCACATTCGGCAGACTACACTAACACGGGAAAGAGAGACACACAGAAATTACAGTGCAGTTGTGTTAAGCACATGTTTCTGTGTCTTCGGTCATCTATCGCAATCAATTGAAACTTTTCGAAAGATTCCACCAAAGCTGTCTCAGCACCGTCCTGGAAATCCATGGTGTCCTGGAGAAAGCAGAGATCGCCATGATGCAGCACAGAGGCCAACTACGTCTACAGAATAGGGGACCAATGACTGCTATATCCAAATATAGAATCCGAGGTGCAATTGCAAACAAATACGTAGCAATATAGCACTTTCATTCTTGGTACATCATTTTAGGGAACACAGATAACATCGTTTCTTGTTAATTCTGGTTCTCGATTGCCAGTGACTGAATAACTCTTTGTTTATGAATATTTTACCCATATGTGTGTGTTGGGGGGTACTTAAATGTGTCCTAATTGCGGTATATACGATGGCCATTCGGCAATTCTTGACAGTTTTCATTAAGATGAATTTGTGTATATAATGCAGAGCCGTAGCATCGGAGAGAAAAATTTTGAAAAATTGAAACGATGGTTCATCTTACAATATATTGTGGCAAAAAGTATCAAAAATGGCACATTTAAGTTTGCTAGAAATTGGGAGTACAATTTGGGAGTCGAACCATTTTTTTCTAATTTGCCCCCATGTACCCCCACCGGCGCCTCCATTGCCCTTTTTGACCAGATAAGTGGACATTAATTTTTGTCCCAATGTCCGTCCAATTGGCTTGAGCACCCTGAAGAGACTGCAATTTTCATCTGAGGAAAGTTTCAGAGTGCATATAGAAAGAAGCATTACCAGTGTCAAAAATTAAATAAAAAAAGAAGTGAGTTTCTTTATGAGTTTACAACATGAACTCAAATACACATACCACAAAATACAAACATAACAAATACAGTCATACTTGTTAACTCATCACCAGCAGTACTCTTCATTCAATATCCATTCAAAATTCTCAAAGGATTTCAACAAATTTCAGTCTGCAAAAATCTAATTTTTGAATTTTTATATCAATCTTAATGCTGGAAATAACCTAGCCTGAGTAGCCTTTCTATCTCAAAAAATTTGCCAAAATGGCACAAAGCACACACTGGACAAAAATTTGTCTTTGTTATTTTTGAGAAACAGGGACCAGGCAGTTGTCAGATTAGCGTTTTGATTAAGACATCATTTTGTATTTCCATTAATGTGGATTACAGGATTAATGCATGAGTATTTAATGGAGCTCAAATACAATTCATCACAACTAACAAAAATATTCTTAATTTTATAAATGTTTTCACTCAATGCCTCATGTATACTCTTCCTACAGACAATAGATATTTCTCAAAAAATCTCATAATTCAGCCTGCACAATCACTTTGATTTGCTCTGAAAAAACAAAAATTCTGGCAGCTGTGTCTTTCCCTACTGATTTAGTTATATTTCTTTATCTATAGATTAAGTTATGTATTCACTGGTTGCATCATGGCCACATTCTGTGCATTCTGACTGAGGAAAGCTAAATGACCTTTGTTACATTTATTAGCATAATGACCCTTCTCTCCACACTGAAAATTAAAAAAAAATTAATTATTAGCTTTTATTTATTATTGTTTAAGCAAAAATAAAACTAACTACACAGACTGTAACACATAGGGAATTTCCCAAACAAAATACATAGATGCTTTGTCTAAGTTAATCCTCTTTGTGAGGTTCTAAAGCACAGTTGGTTAGAGCGTTGGTTGCTGTGGGTTCTGATCTCGATCAGCATATGAAAGTCCGATGACTTTGAATAAGTCATCTTCACTCATAATTCTAGTCGTCCCAACTGTAAATGGGTACGGATAATCCCGGAAAGATCAATGCCAAGAGGTTTGGCCAAGGACCAGATGGTAGAAAGGATCCTTAATTGTGAATTAGTTGTTATCCTTGTAAAATATAGTAGTTTCTTTCTTTCTTACCTTATAGCATGTAACTTGATCTAAAGGTCTTCTACCATCAGATAAATGCTGTTCATTAACTATCATAGCAGTCTACAATAGAAAATATATAAACTAGTGTCCAAAAGAAACGATACCAACTTATTTTCAAAATTGTTTTTTACTAAGTGAATTGTCTAATATGAAAACATGCCAATTCGTATTGCACATCCCAAACACAGCATAGTCGATAAAAATACCGAGAACACGTGATCACTTCCGGGAAAAAACGTAAATTTCATGAAAGTGACATTTCCCTCTCTAGTATGTTCTGCACGTGCATAAAAACGGTATAAAACGGCTGATCAGACAAGTTGATATCACAGCAACAAAAAGAACACAAGATATGCCACGTTTGACAGCCATCGAGAGAGAGAGAGCCGTTGGAATGGTCCAACAAGTAGCGACACACGTCGACGTCGCCAGAAGGTTGGGCTGCGCACGCATCACTATCACCAGGTTGATGCAGCGGTTACGTCAGACAGGTCAGACGTCAGACAGGCCCAGGAGTGGAAGACCACGAGTAACCACGCCCCGTGAAGATCGTTACATTCGGGTATTACACCTGAGGAACCGCACCGTAACAGCGACGTCCACAGCGGCTACAGCACTGGGACACAGGATCAGTCGACAGATCGTCTACAGGAGACTACGGCAGTATGGTATCCGGCCACGTCATCCCTACCGCTGACCGCTCCTGACGCCTCGACACCGGAACAACAGACTGATCTGGGCCATGCGAGTTCGACGTTGGCAACGGCGGGACTGGGCACGTGTTATGTTCTCTGATGAGAGCAGATTCCTCATCTTCAAAAACGATGGACGGCAGCTTGTATACCGACGATTTGGTGAACGTTTGGCGCCTAACTGTATCCAACAGGTCCGGCCGTTTGGAGGTGGAGGGTTAATGGTTTGGGGTGGCATATGTGGTGACGTCAAAACGAGGCTTGTCGTAATTCGTGGAAACCTTAATGCACAGTGTTATATTGATGATATCCTACGGCCTGTTGTGGTGCCCTTTATTCAGCAACAGCCTCGTGGACTCCTTTTCCAACATGACAATGCAAGGCCACACACAGCAAGATTGACACAGAACTTCCTTGCCAACGCCAACGTACAGTTTTTGCGACGTCCGGACTTGGAACGATATCTCCTCGAGGAATGGCAACGCATCACTCCCAACACTAGTTTAGAATTATAGTTGTCAAGAAAATCATATATAAGATATATATAATTTTAGTATTTAGTACCTTTTGGTCATTTTACAAAACAGTCAGAAATCAAAAATAGTCAAGTTTGGTCTTGAAGCTGGAACATTTTTATCGATTACCAAATTGAAATCGGTTATTGACAGCTGAATGATGATAAATAAGCGATTTATAATCAAAATATTAAAATCTATAAATTCCTAGTTACAAAGATAATCGATTATTTCACCAAGCCCTAATGACTGTATAATGTTGGTGTATAAATAGTTAAATAGACTATTACCTGCTGTTGTTCTGATCGAACTTGGTTAGGCATTTTATTACAATGTATAGCTTTATGTCCATATTCACCACAGAAATGACAAGTTAGATTTCCTTTCTTCACTTGTTGAGAGTTGTCTGTTACAGGAAGATCAAATTTGGGGCTATAAAAAAAAACACAATGGTAGAAAAAAAACTTCATCTGATTAAGGACTTTAATCATCTTAAAAAAAAGACATATGATGTATTATGGTCCTCTGGCACAAGTTTGCCATTGGCAATGAAATTTTCTACATGGAATCAACGAAATAGTTCTCATGTAAATATGTCAGAAAAATTTGCATAATATTTTACAAAGTTATGGCTCCCAGAGGATATATTTTCTTCATTTTGTCATTTTAGTGCTTAAAATTCAATTCCAAACTGAATTGGTTCCAATTGGCATAATAAACAGTAAAAACTTACTGAACAAATTTACAATTAGCACCATCTAAACAGAAACCATTGACATAAGATATACATAGTACTCTTCTTTGATGTCTGTTTTTACAGTTAGGCCCTGTAATACAATTTACATGAATCACTTTAATATCTATAATGTGGACAACCCATAGAAAGAAAATGATGCTCCCAAAAACACCTTATCAGCTAGCATATAACAATATATCTTGACTGAGCCACTAAAATTTAGCCAAATACAGTGGATCACTTTCCAAATAAGCCCTCTTTCACATGTAGTTGGTGAAACACCTTTTTTGGTCAATACTCAAAAGTTTATGCCTACATACCAAATCTTAGGAAAATCGGTTGAAAACTGAAAGCAGCTATTGTATTTTCACTATTCATAGTGATAGGGGTAAACAAGGTGGTTTAAGAAATTAGGGCAAATAAAAGATGGTACAAATTCTATCTCCTTGTTCAAGGTGTTAAAACAGGCATTATCACTTTGAACTATGGCCTGAACTGCCTCAAATCAAATCTTTGAAAACAGATTCAATACTGTGATTCTTCAGAAAGAGAAACTTACCATGTCGGCAAAAACCTCGATCATACCATGGACAATCTTTTATTTTCTTCTCAGGATCAATGTGAAGAAATGGACATTCTTTATTACTACACTGACCTATCAGATACAAACCAAGATTAATTAACATTATAAATCTTAGATAGATACAATATTTAAAAAACATTATCACTGATAACAGAAATCAAACTTTCAAAAACAAACTTTTCAAAGATGTCAATGACAAATCAATACCATCAACAAAAGTTTTCTTTGCCACAGGCCAAATTTTTGGTAAAAAAAAAAACATTGCTGTTAATGGTGGTATAACACTTAGACCAAAAAAGTCAGTAAAAATTACCAAGAAATATTTTGACATTTCAGATCTTAAGGGATTGTAAAGAGGTTTTTGAATTTTTTCATTTGTATGGGGGTCACATAAAATCTCTCTACAATCCCTTAAAGAATTATAAACAAGGAAACTCACCAAATTTTGAGAAGAAATAACACTCAGGCATCTTGGTCATGTCATATTCATGTAAAAATTCACAGTCATCTCCCTTTTTACACAAACCACGTAACCAATGTTTACAAACAACTGTTCTGTCACCTCTTACATGACGGAATGGACACGCTGTACCCTTATTACAACCACTTACTAAATAAAACGTACAAGTGCCTGCACCAGATTCTGAAAAATTGAAGTAGAAAATAGGTGAAGGGCCTACATAATTAAAGCTATAACTCAGGAGGTTAGAATTATGCTTCTTCTTGGCGATCAAAATCAGAACAGGTAATTTACTTTCTGACTTGAGTATACCTCACAGATTATTCATGCTGGTGCTTCATAACATTATTCATTAAACTCTGCGACAACTGTTAGTCGGAAACCCAGACTGTTTGTCTCATTAACTTATTAACAATTATGCTACTCTCTGACCATTGTGAATTTAGTTAAAGTTTGAATGTAAACTATCACAAATATTCAAAAACTAATTTTACAAAATTCGATTCGAACAGAGTTGTCAGATAGTCAACAAAGCCAAACTAAGAAAGTGAAACTCACTGTCCATTCCAGGAAAGGGCAACACTTGAGCCCCTATCTGCTGTTCCAGGGCATATTCGATATCAAATGAAAGATGGACTGTGGGGGCAACTACCTCCTGCATTTTTCAATGTTTTAGATTTGTTTTTAATAGAAAAATCCTAACAAAACATTAAACAGTTTTATTTTCATGCTTTACATTTTGTTGACGGAAGTTTAATCCATGTAATATGCGCATGAGCAATGAATGTTTTTCAATGTAAACATCCGGCTTAAACACGTGACTGTCATGTGATCAATTATGTCAAAACATGGAGGCATAAACAGGAAGATATTTTCTCACGAAAAACTTAAAGAATATTTTTCAGTAAGATGAATATAAATAGCAAAAATGAATGTCATTGTGATAAAAACAGATGCAGGTGAATACTTCCCTGGAAATGACGTAAGAGGGTAGGTGAAATGAGGTCAAAATAGGCTGCCAATTATTATTTCTTTGGAAACCTTTTTTTTTTACTTTCATTACTAGGCTTTAGGCTACTAATTTCACCATTTATATTATGACTTAAATAAATCCACGAAAAATGTCAAATGATAAAATGTGACAATTTGCTTCGGACAATGGCATTCATTATCAAAGCAACAAATGAAATATTATGTAAAAACACAGTAAATTCATTAAAGTTAGTTTCAATTTTTGATTCTTTCCAGTGATGTTTATTTGAACATTGTGAGACCCACTGCAGCTAAGGGTATAAAGCTAGATATCTATATAACAGAAGAATGTAAGTAGCATTCAACATAAATAATAGACCATTTGCAAAAAAAATGCAACTGTGCAGGTTTCTTTTGTTTTTACTTATAATACATACAAAAATTGTGAGCTTTTCACTTGAGGTTCTCCAGACAATATTTGAGGTCTGTCAATTTATGATTGATCGCTGATAACAGCAGGTTCTGAAATAGTGATATAGATAGATAGTGATAGAATATTTGGGTCTATGGTGGTTGGGGGCCTTAAAAATAATTTTATTTTAATTTTTAGTTAAGTATAGCTATGTGAGTGAAAATGGATTTCTAGAAACAGAACAATCCAAGATTAGACATTTGAAGAATGAAAATGTGATTCTGTATGAACGAGATTGTAAGTAATCTTTAATTAAATGCTTAATGGACTCTTATTGTATATTTTCATTCACAATAATGATGAGACTGTAAAGAGATTTTCTAGCTCTTTTATGTGTATTTAATAGCTTCTATCTGAATCATTCCAATTTTTATGATAGTTGTCTATGGTTCTTGTCATTATTGAAATGCTGAATCATAAATTAAGTCACTTTAGTCACTAATGCAAAAGCTTCTGATAATACCTTACGACAATAGTTAGATCATAACATGCATAGTTTTAGTGGAGTTACAAGACCCACAGATATCAGAATAAAACTTGGAATGGTGTAAATCAATTGATGTCCGCATAAAGGTTTTGAAAACTACAATGTCTTTATCATGATGTCCATTTCTTTGTGTATTTTTAGCTCCATTGTCACATGGTAGTTACAGATTTCCATTTGAGTTTACAGTTCCTATCTCAACACCAGGTATGTATTAGTTAATATGTCAAGTTATACTTTTTATAGGACATGTTTTAAGCGGCTCAAGCCTCCTGAGACAAATAGGGGGACAATGTTTGAGGTTCAAAATGCATCAGTTCTATGAAGCACATAGGTGCAAACCTATTTTTCTGTTGCAGGAAGCTTCCACTCTGTTCATATGGAATCACCAGAATGGAAGGCTGTATCACTGTGTGTTATAATAGCAACAGCTATAGATTCTACAGCATTAACGGTAAGATTTCTATTGTTTGACTATCTTTGTTTGTTAAGAAGTTCAACTGGGCATTTTAGACATGGTAAATATGGCAAAATCAACAGCACTGGAAAGAACAACACATAATTTTAAAGATAACATACTGTTTCAAGATTTTAGTTTGTCTTTTTTTTGTTAGTTAGCATTGCTGATTTAGATCCGTAAAGGCCCCCACACACAGAGAGACTTTGGCACGTAGTAATCTTGCCATAATTCGACCAATAAAGGATTGCTTCTGTCACTACTTCACTGGGGGCCACCATCTTTAAATACCAGTAACCCGTACACAATGTGTTCTTCGTCTGAGAAAGTCACGCACAGTTACCCACACACGATGTGCCATCTGTCACAAGTGGTTGAAACTATCAATCAAACACGATAGATATTTTCCCCACGACCACGAGAGGCCAAATGCACACTAAAAATTACCCGCACATGAAGCACTACTAGTCAAGCATGATTGGTGTCTTAAATGCATGACTGACTTTGATTGGTATAATAAATAAACATATCATAAACCATAAACATAAAAATATACTTTAGTTTGGGGTGGAAGAATCTTTTAAATAATAAGATTATACAGACTGGCACAAATATCTTTGCTTGATTTTGGATTGGTATTTTTTGATGGAAGTCAAAAACATATATTGTCGATCACAGATATTCCAATTCAAAGCATGAACACAAACAATCCACTTTAATTTGAAGTACCATATAATAAGTAGCTATAAACAGTAGTTTAAATACTTCTTATTCTACCTCAAGTCTAAATAAACAGGTCTGGTTCATGAATCTGAATGTGCATTTTTTGAGTAAATCTAAATGAGTTGTTTTATAAACTCTCTGTTGTTATTTTAGATGTCCCAATCAGTAGTGATATTAAACTGTACTAAACAAGAGTTAGATGAGAAACATGTAGTATCACCACAGTCTACAGTTTATCCTGTTAAATCTCTTTTACTGTGGAAGAAAAACAGAGGAATCAGTGTTACTTGCAAGTATGTTCTGCTTTATTCTTCATAATTTTGTTTAATTCATGCCTTCATTTCAATGACCATCAGGGACATTTCACTGACCATCAGGGACATTTCACTGACCATCAGAGACATTTCACTGACCATCAGGGACATTTCACTGACCATCAGGGACATTTCACTGACCATCAGAGACATTTCACTGACCATCAGGGACATTTCACTGACCATCAGGGACATTTCACTGACCATTAGGTATGCTGTGTATATAAGTGGAATCTTGAATGAGAGTGATTTATAATATTTTTTGTGTTGTCGTCCTTGACTCTTGAGGAGATGTTGTTTTTTTCGTTTTTTGGTGTCCATTATAATCTAACAAGATTTTTACAAAGGTCGCATACTGATGACGCTACAAGACATTTATAGCAGTCAATCAAGCGCATTCTGGCTAATTAGAAACACTTTTACAAACGAATATCGGCAGTCTGCATGACACACTGTGATTGGTTGAAATGAACATCAATGATGGTATAGATCTCTTTAGATTACAATGGAAATAGTAAAAAAAAATTAACGAAAGGAAAGTGTAATCTAAGTGATTAAGTGATTTTAATGTTTCGAAGGATATTTTTATGGTTATTTCCAAACTGTATTTGTTATATTTTGTAGATTGTTACAGAATATATATAAAACTGGAGAAAATCTAGAGTTAAGATTAATAATAGCTAATAATACAGCTGTTAACATTATATCATTAAAAATAAAGGTTAGTTATGATAAGTATAAAACCATCGTCTTCAAGTAGCTAGCAGATCGTGTCAAAGAAGCAGAGAGCCGTCATTTATTTAAAATCTAGATATCTCTTCAATTGGGCTGATCATATTTGTGTTACAAAAGTGTAAACACTTCGAAGTGTGAACTTGAATAAGTCATCTTTCCTCATTATTCCAGTTGACCTAGCTGTAAAGTGGTAGACCTACAGATATTCAAGAAAAGATCAATGCTTAAGCTATGATTCCATATATGCGTCATGCGGATCTGTCATGCATCATGCGTCAAAAATCGCTACACCCGACGATTTTTTTTTTTGATGCATCCAGACGCCTTTCCGTGCGGAGATCTCCCAAATGTGACGTATTTTTGTGGGGATTCCTTGTCTTATTTATGCACCAAAGCATCCCCTTTCTCGAAGTCCGTGCGTCAAAAGAAAGATAACGCATATGTTTAACGCACATATGGAATCATATTTGACGCATGACGGATCCGCATGACACGTATATGGAATCTTAGCTTTAGAGGGTTGGCCAAGGACCTCTGGTAAAAATGATCCTCATGAAGTAGTTATCCTTATAAAAAATAATGGTGTTTTTCTTTCTTTCAGCTGATCAGACATCTGAAATTTAAGACCCTTGAAAGTACAACAAGAACTGCAACAAATTTTCATTGTTTTGTGCCGAAGTTGGACACGATTTCACCAGTGGAGAAACGCGGGTCTTATAATGATGGTGAAAAGTTAATTCTGACACCAGAGGGAGGTCCTCATATTATCTGGGAGAAATTTGCGTTAATGAATGGCAATATATCGTTAATGAATAAGTAAGTTTAATTCATTAGACCATATGTTGGGTATTGTACAGCCCCCCCCCCCCCCCTAAGAAATATTTCCCCCCTCTGAAAAGTTTAGATGACTTGATTGACTTGCTGAGTCACATAGTTTGAGCCCCTTTGAAAAAGTTTGCCTTTTCCTTTTCATTGTGTATGAAGGTGGTTTTTTTTTCCAGAGGAATTGATTTTGATTTCTTTCTTCTGAATTCTGGAAAGTTAAGGTAGAAGGATCCGTAAAACAAGAAAACAAATCGGTCTGGTCTAAAATATTACTCCAATGTCTGGTTGGAAAATTATGGCATATTTTGGGTTTAGTGGTATAAGGTTGTCTAAGAGATACTCTCTTATAGAAGCACTGGCTTAGGTCACAAGTAGAGACTATGAATTTCAGCATTGGAATACATCAATTTGATAAGAAGTTACCTATTTCTGGAGAGATTTATAAGATAAACAAATGACTCAAAATTGCAAAGCGATTGTTTCAGGGAGTTAATGAAATCTACTATGGACAGATTTTTATTCCTTTTGGAAGCTGTCACCAAACATTTAGTATAGATGTAAGGAAATTTGTGATGGAATTCTGTATGAAATTATTGGTATGTGCAAAGAAAGTGACCTTATTGAATAGATATCTCTACTTATATTCAAATTTTGTTTTAGTGTTTTAGATAAAATATTGATACCATTGAGAGACAAGAACAATGTGCCTTTTTTACCAACATTAAATGGTTCTGCTATAGAGGTAAATTTATCATAAGTAATGGTTGTTCCAGCCTCCTGAAACTTGGGGTACAAATTAGGGATAGGCCAACAATTGGGTGATTAAACTAGTTTTTGCCCCAACTGTCACCACTAACTTAAGAAAAGTACTACAAGGTACATATTTGATAAAATTGGCAGTATCAAGAGTTTGACAACTAAAGGCAAGGGTATCTGACAATTTTCTACCAGAATCTCGCATTAAAATGATTAATAATTTTGCTCTTTCATTTCAGTGTAAATATTCATTGGAAATCATTTTAGATTTAAATATTGAGGCATCCATTACTATTACTCATGATATACCATGTATTTTACCATTGTCTAATAAACAGGTTGGTATTATATGACTAAGAAATCATTTTAGATTTAAATATTGAGGCATCCATTACTATTACTCATGATATACCATTTCATTTCATAGCATCATAATATGTGTAACATATGTATAAACCAGGTTACAATATTTTTATTTTAGTGGGAATCTATAGTGCTTCCAGAATGGACTAAGAATGGTATTATATTATCAGATTGTTAATGGTGTACTGGATGATGGCATTTTTTAAGTGGAATAATGATTTATTTGTGATGTATAGGATAATGTTGTATTTCTAATAAGCTAGATAATGAGGAACAGGATAAAGCTTCATTTCTAATAAGCTGGATAATTGTTTTTTTTGTGATGAAAAGGATAATGCTACATTTCTAATAAGTTGGATAATGATGTTTTTGTAATGAACATGATAATGCTACGTTTCTAATTAGCCGGATATTGATGTTTTTTGTGATGAACAGGATATTGGTGTATTTCTAATAAGCTGGATAATGATGTATATCTGATAAACAGGATAATGCTACATTTCTAATAAGCTGGATAATGATATATGTGATAACTGGATTATGCTACATTTATGATGAATAGGATAACTCTGTATACCTAAGAAGCTGGATAGTGCTATAAAGAACTGGATATCTGATAAGCTGGATAATGCTACAATTCTGATAAGCTGGATAATGCTATTTCTGATAAATTGGATGATGCTGTATTTATGATTAAGTAATTCTTACATGGGCTCAAATATCATTCCTATAACTGCATAAAATTTTTCATGTACATAAGTTGAAGTTTACAGATAATGCCCTTTGAGTACTACATAAAATAACCGTCCCCTTATCCAATATGAGGGCAATATCTTTCGCTTAAATCACTCATGATTTTCCTACATAAACAAGTCAATGTTTTAAAAAAATTGCCAAAACCTATATAAGGTCTTTATATGGAAGTTTCTGAATTTTAGCATAAGATCTGTATGATGAATTGACAAATTGAATCTATTTGATTTGAAAATTATCAGTCAGTCCTTATTGATCTTAATTTAATTCCACATAATAAAAGACACAAAAAAGGTTCTAGTTTTTAATTTTTATATTCCATTTATTTTTATACAATTTTATTACAATTATCTTTATAATCAAACATTTTTAATATTGTTTTTTTAGTATACAATTATTTTGTCCAGACAATGAAATTTTACTTTCTTTTTAAATATATGAGTTTTCTTTAATAATACTACATTGAGTAGTGCCAGAGCAGAGATAATCCTAAGACAATCTTTGCAAGATAACTGAGCATTGTACGTTTGATTGCTCTTGCTGTGCTAAGGGATTATTTATGTGGTGCTGGATAGATAAGTTCTGCTCGTTTCAGATTCGTGGAATCAACTGGAAATCAGTTACAAATTGGAACAAGCACCCAAAAAAAGTTAATCAGAATTCAAAATTGTAAAGAAAGGAAGAGAAGTTTAAATTTTGAATGTGACATATCTATAATCAAGGACTAGAATTAAGACTAAATCTGCTTAAAACTAAAAAATTTAGCGACACCTTAGGGCGCTGTGAAAACTCTGCAAAAACTTGAGCAATAGAACTTTTATGAATTCATGTTCCTAGATTCTTAAACATCCACCAGAGAAAATTCTATACAACAAAATAGTCCATCCCAATCCAATATAAGATATTGTGAGGATTACATTTGATTATAACAGTTGAAACCTGAATATCATGCAATATAGAAGTTACACATATTCTATTTCTCATTTAACATTTGAAGCATAATCACAATTTGAGCCATCTGCATCACCTTTCAAAACAAAAATAAGACATCTGAGTAGTATGCAAATAAATAAAATATTGGCAGACATAATGATTTGTAATTAGTAATAATCATACAAATACAATGGCCTTTGTTGTCTCTTTTACCATTTAATTTTCATTAATTGCAGACAATTCCAATATCATGTTTTCATTATGGAAAGTGATACATACAGCCAAGATTGAGCTCTTTTTGCTACAACATGTATTTAGATGATCTTATCGCTATGATTAAGATATTTTGCCAGATAATCACATTACTAAACCAGAAATTGGTCAAATACTACTTTCCACTATGTTGTCCTAACAAAAATATATCTAAACAGATTTAAGGCAATTCTTCACAAATTTTCAAATATACCACCAAAATTGATTCTTAGAAATGGGAATATACAAAATGTACAATATAAGAAAAAGCTTTGACCATTATGAAAACTTTCCTCATGACAGTCAAAAAATTTTACACAATGAACAAATAACAAGAATTGTATATTTAAATAACTAAGAACTAAGAGGTCATGATTTTCCTTTTGATGCTGCCTTCTCTTTAGCTTTGTCTTCTAATTCTAAAACAGAAGATGAACAAAATTAAAATACCAATTAATATTTCATTTGGATTACTGCTCAAACATTACCACTTAAAACTTCAGTTATCAGAAGTCACAAATAAATATTTGTTATCAGAAGTCACAAATAAATATTTGTTATCAGAAGTCACAAATAAATATTTGATGTCTCGCCATTGTAATAACAGATTATAATTTGGGGCATTAAAATGATAATGAGTTGTGTCCAAATTTTTTCGGCACATTTACGCATGGTGAATTGTGAATTTTAACAAGGTTTATGAAAATTTAAGAAAATATAGATTGGACACAGGAGTTAAAATGCAGAAAGCACTCAAATTAAAACTGGTTCTTCTAATATGTAAAAGCTTACACATACCAGTTGTGTAACCTTTATAGCAGCAGTGAAATAGCCCGGTTGGTAGCCTCAAAATAGTACTGTTAGTCTTAGAATGTCTTTGAGTTGATAAAAATATAATCATGAGCTCACATTAAGTCTTTTTTGGGTTGAAATTTCAAGGAGAGAAATGTGTTTCTTTTCAATGTAAACTTACAAAAGATTATATATTTATCAAGGCAAAGACATTTTAAGACTACCAGTACTGTTATAAGGCTGATATTCCAATTCTTTTAAAAAAATATCGAAAAACTTTTTGATTTGATTAGACAATAGGTTTGAATCCAACTCAATGTAAGAACAATTCTGATTCTAGTCAGTCAACCAAGCTTTTACATCTATTACAGATAATAATTAAATTTCAAATAACCTTTCTTTTCTTGCTCTCGTTTCTTAGCCTGTTCTTCTCTTTGCTTCCTAATAAGTGCTAATCTAGCTAAATCTGCTTGTGCTTCTGTAGTTTTCCCTTCCATATGTAACTGATCATACTTCTTTTTAGCTTCAGTTTTCTCTAATTCTTCCCTGAAAAAATCATTTGCCAAATTCATCAGGATATAAAACAAGTATATTAAGCACTCAGGTTGATTTGGGTTTTGAATATTATATGTAAATAGTCTTCAGAATTACTAGAACTGCGCGAAAATTGCATAATCCATTAAAAAATACTTTATATTATATATTTCTTTTTCTATAAGCTTATACATCTATGTCTTTTTATATATGGCATCATTTCAACAGGGGTAATTCCAGGACACACGTGGATTTAAAGGCTCAAATTTCAAAGAGAGATGTGAACACAGATTATCTTAGCTACAAAATTTCCATTTCTGGGTCTAAGGTATGATTGGTCCAACGGATGGCAAACAAAAAATTACCTTTCTCTTCTAGACAAAACTGTTTTATGATCAGCTTCTATGGCAGTGACTTTTTTAGCTTGTTTAATATTTCTATTGGGATTCTGAATATCTATTAAACCTTCAACACCTTTACCTTTCCTCTATAAATCACAAAATACATTTCATTGCTCTTAACTGACTGGTCCATCCTCAAATATTATTTGCAAAGATTGTTTTGTAATTTTACTTTTTAATCTGACATTTTGTTTGAAAAGATAGACTTACAATGAAACTAAAACTGAGCTTATGCCCCCGAGCTGTGAAAACTTAAAGTATCAAAAACAAAAACTTACTTCTTCATCACTACTGCTTTCTTCTTCTGAGGAATCGGAATCAGAACCACTTCCTTTAGCAGCTCCACCTTCATCATCACCTCTTTTTCTCTTAAAACATATCAAGTTATCTAGTTAATACAGGAAGACTGTTCAAATGGCTTTGAGTGCCAGTCATGGCAAAGTCGAGAGTAAAAGTTGTATAGCAGTAGCAGGGGAATCCTCCAAAAAGAAGTACCATCAGGTGTTTTGATAAAGTAAGTACTTGTGTAGCACCCTTTAAATTTCTCTTATATTGTTTTGCTACCAAGTCTTATAGGTCTATATAGGACTGCTAGTTTTGTAATCTCGTCAAGTAAGAGACAAAAAGACTACAAAGGTGAGGACTTTACCATCCAATTCTTTTCTCTTTCTTCTTTCTTTTCTTCTTCTTTTAAAGCTTCCTCATCAGTAAAATGTCTTCTCTGACCCTTTTTATTCTTCTTACCTCTCGAATCCCGAAATCCTCCTATAAATATCATATTTTCTCAAAATTTCATCTTTCAACTGACTGAATAGGTCTTTGATGAAGCTTTAAAATTGTAAGTCTACTGAGGCTTGAACGTCATTCAATGAAAAAGATGTGTACCTTTGAGAATTTCGCATATTTGCATAAAAGGCCTTGTGCACATGATGACAGTGGAAACTTAGGCTTAGTTGTAGCCTAGATCTACTATCAAACAAGACCAAGAAGAAATATTTTGAATTAACGATAAAGTGGTCTTTATGGATTGTATTAGGCCTACAGGTAACAAGAAAGAAACATATTGTGCAAATATTTCCTTCCAGCCCATTTCCACTAAGGCACTATTAAAATCGTCTTTTCATTAGCCTAAACCTGAATCATTTATGGCCCTATTCTTAGACAATTACTACCAGTAGTACTTTTTTGGGGGGTTTAAAAACATATGTTTAGCATAGATGTCATTTGTATATTTAGGTTTTAGAGTTAGAACAGGACTGAAGTGGGTCCTTGAATGGTTTTATTCCTTTTTTTGGAGTTAGGCCTTCTTTACTTGTACTCTCTTACTTTGCTAAGTATGACAAATGCAGCAGGCCTTAGTCTACTTTTGATCTTTTGAAGAAATATTTAGTGTGGTGTTTATAAAACAAAGCAGCACGTGTACCTCGTGGCATTTTGTGCTGACTTGAAAAGTATACAATGTTTCAACTGATGTTGCACGTTGTTTTTGTTTATTTCACCACCAATTTCTCTTAAACAGCCCTTCCTCGAAAACCTGCAACATCTGTGTGGACCAGTTATTGGAAGATAACATAAAATTGTACTATTGGTAGAACAATGAAAAAACGATCTCTTATTCGACCAAATAATAATATTTTAAGAGTCATAAAATTAAAAATCTAAAAATTGTTTTTCATTTCTTTCAATTAATTACAAAATTTTATTACCTCTAGAAAAGACTACAAGACCCTCCCTAAAACTTCACGATACAGTACGAGTTTTCTCGAGATTTCATATTTCCGAGTTGTTTACATTTTGAGAAACCATACGATATTTTCTCAAAGAATATTAGCAAGTCTATTCATTTAACTAAAGATGCCGAAGATAAAAAGAAGCCGAAAACCTCCTCCAGAGGGGTGGGAGTTGATAGAACCGACTATTGATGAGTTAGATGCTAAAATGCGCGAAGGTAACTATATTGAGTGTCTGGTTGAAATCAGAAATGGTGTCTTGGTTTTGCAAACAAATGCCTTTCTTTAAGCCTTAGTCGAATGTTGATATTATTAACCTACTTTTGTTTTTTGTGAATGAAGAAAGATTGTGAACCTTAATCAGTTGACAAAGAATTAAAACCTTTCTTTGTTTGTTGTCTTAAGTCTTACCATGGTAAGCTTTGAGCTCAGCCTCCTAGCTGTGCAAATAAAATTTCCATTTTTTTTTCAGCTGAAACTGATCCTCATGAGGGTAAAAGAAAAGTTGAAGCTATGTGGCCCATATTTCGTTTACATCATCAAAAGTCAAGATATATTTATGATTTATTCTACAGACGTAAAGCTATCAGCAGAGGTTTGTATTACTTTTTACTACTGGTTTTATAACTCTTATTATTCAACATTTCTGAAGTAATAACTTGGCTGGGATTGAAAATAATTATATGCTACTCCATCAAAGGTAAACACATAGTCACCTTAATAAGGATAAGGATGATTAAGAATGTTAAAAGTTTGGCAGTACCAATAAGCTGTGAACACTGAATACCCTGTGCTGTAAAGCTTCCGTTTCTGAGACCAATTGACACCAGAAAATGCTGCCATAGGACTTTAATTTTGAACACAAAAAAAAAAAAAATGTTTTGATAACGCTTTGATGAGGCTCAATTTCACGCTATATGGTGAGTTTAGTCCACTGGATATCTGAAATGGAGCTCAACCAGCTGATGCATTACATTTGGCTATAGATTTCAGAAGCAGATATTGTGTTATTCATGTTTTGTTAACAAATTCTTCTTTTATTTTAGAACTTTATGAATATTGTTTAAAAGAGAATATTGCTGATAAGAATTTAATAGCTAAATGGAAGAAGCAAGGCTATGAAAACTTATGTTGTTTAAGATGTATTCAAACAAGAGATACTAATTTTGGTACTAACTGTATTTGTAGAGTTCCTAAACCTAAATTAGAATCAGTAAGTTGGAATTTTAATTCATCAGGTATTAAGTTTGTAAGCATTCAATTTTCTTTATTTTAAGGTAGAATAAAGCTTACCATCTTTCTGCTATTTGGAATTAAAACTTTTTTCGGAGCCTTTAAGATACATGCCTAGATGTGCAAAATAAAATGTCAAGCCATAATTGTTGAGTTTTAAACATTTCACATGAAATCAATTGATAAATTAGTCCTGCAGAGAGATCTGAAATGTATGCCAATAATTTTATTTAGAAAGACATCAGCAAGTTTGGTCTTAAATACTTGACCAATTATGTTTGTATAATTTGGGCTACTCTGGATGATCTGTGTATCTGGTTTTAACCTCTTTGTCTATTCAGTGTTTGAAATCTTGAAAAGGGATTGCTTCTTAGTAGTTAATGTTTATCAAGAAAACTTTAAAAGACTTACAGTTGGATTAAAATATGTATATTTTTTTTCAGGGAAAGATTGTAGAATGCATACACTGTGGTTGTAGAGGGTGTTCTGGTTGAGTAAAGTTGAAGTATGAAAGATGTATAAATAGTTGGTGTATGATGTGATGATGTATATGGAAACAGTTAATCAAATTATTTATGTGCACTGGAAAGTTTTGAAACAGGTTAACTCAGGATCCTGAAGAAAAGCAGACATCAAGGAAAATTCTTTTGATCTCTCCTGAAAGTGATGTTTTATTACTTAAATCTTAGAAAAAATGTCATTTTGAAATATTTGAATATCATGTACAATTTTCACAAAATAAGCATTGTAATTTACAAGAGAGTGCTTAATTCATTCACTGTAGAGCATTGAAGCGATTAGGCATTTATCATGTTTCATATATGTATATAACATTTTCTTTTCAATTTGTAACATTGTGAACTTAATGACAAGATGAATGTAAAGATTTTGTAAGAAAAGAAATAAAGTTGTAAATAAAATAAAACTATAATTTTAGAAAATAATTTATTTATTTAAAATCAATTTGAGCATATCAATCTATATGGTGGTAGATTGGAACAGGTAGATCAGGCAATCAGAAAATTTCGGATTTCATTTAAAATTTCTTTTTTCAGTGAAATTCTCATGATTCTGACTTGTGTGCATTTAAGCTCAACAACTTTGGCCCTACTGAGTTCTGCAGATGTGATCAACTCCCCTATAAAACAACATTTTATGTTTGGCCCTACCCCATAGGGTAGACAGGCTGATATCACATCAGAGGAACTTTGGAGGGCTAGAGTTGAAAGGCTATGTACAGTAAGGCAAAGGAATTTAGGGGCCACTCGATTGGTTAGTTCTGCACATTTGGGATTTATGGAATCAATATTCAATAAAACAAGTATGAATATAGTTTAGAACATGTTCTACTTGTGCTAAAAGTTAAGTAGGTGCAAACAGAATTCAAAATGGCCGAGAAGGAAATATATGAGAAAATTTTGAATGTGACATTTTTTGATTTGAGGCAGAATTGAAACAGACAGAACATGTTCAGAACTATCTGATCGAGTACCACCCTAGGCAGATCTGAGGATGTTGCTAGTCATAAACAAGAACAGTCTATTTTGCTTTAAGGCACAATAATAGAATAAAAACTATACAAGTTTGACCTTAATTGTTATTGGAACTACCTCAAAATAAAATGGGCATAACAGTTTGTGCTGAATTGTCTATGAATATGTTTATCAGATAATAAAGAGTTCATCATAAAAGGATTAGTAATAAGTAACAACCATATATCTAGGACAAGAGTCTGACATAATCCAGAAGGCACTAATTATTGTAATGAACACCATATTAAGCAAATATGAAAAAAATTCAAAATAGATGAGGAATCTTCCTTTAAACTTAGTTCCATCTCTTTACTACAGTAACTGTAAGATTTTTCAGTCTCTTTAACTGTATTAACTGAGTGAAAATCCTGCTTTTCGCCCAATAATGACTCCTATTAGGCCCATACTTTTGGAAATTCTTCTCAATTGACATAGACAATCAACAGATAGTCAAAAATGCAAAGGTTTACTGACTATCTCTTGTAGCATTACTCATAAAGCCTACCAAAATCTCCAGAAGTTTTTTTAAATCTTAACCAATAAAATGTCTTGAAAAAATAGTTCTAAATATGCAATTACCAAAATTTGAGTTTAAAAGGGAGGTAACCAAATAATATGGTAAATTGTCTCCCTTTACCCACATAGTCAAATTATTAGATAATGATATGAACGTTTATGTACAAAAGCAAAGCGAATTAGTAAAATAAATAGATAAAATCATATAAAAATATTGTTAATAAAGGAAAGAATGTACAAAAGTTTTTCAAGCAAAAAAAGAAAATATCTGACTAGAGGCGTGGTAAAATATCATCTGATAAAAATTTGATTACAACTTTGTTACGTTTTTATTTTTTTATACTAAGGTCCCATACTGTTGATGTTCATTTCAACCAATCACAGCGCGTCATGCAGAATCTGTCTCTTATTATCGACTATGAATTGTGGGATAGCGAAACACAAAGTAAAGCGACATGACCAATCAGATTACAAGACTGCCGATACTCGCATGTTAAAGTGATTCTGAGTGGTGCATGATAGTCTCGTCACTAGTGCAAGACCTTGGTACAAATCTTGTAAGATTACAATTGAGATCGACAAAAATAATAATAACGAAGCAAAATTGTAATCTGATTTTAATTAGATTTGGTGAAATATCAGTTTGTGTCATGAAGACATTTTTTGTGGCCGTCAAATGTCTTACTATCTGTATCACTTTTCAGAATTAAAATCCTATGTCTGACCCCCCTACAATTCTAAATAACACAGTGTTTTATTAGATTGTCGCCATGGCAAGCTGTTAATAGCCGTCACACATTTAGTTATTAACACTTTAATTTATGATATCATGTGAGAATGGTGATCTTCCACTATAAGATTTATTTGAATTGCAGAGGAATACGGTGTCAAATTTTATTTCTGAGAAGTAATACAGACATCTAATACTATAGATATAATATCAAATATTTAGATGAATGCATCCGTAGTCCTAAATCATTAAATTTGATAAATTAATATGTCTGTCTTGGTTAGCAAATCTAATTTTTGTCTCTAAATACGACAAAATGGAATAAAAGGTCATGGTCATGTGATTGATAATTTGTGGTTTATCACTTCACCTCCACCAAAAGCAATTTTTTTATCAGCGAAAAAAATGATCACCCTATTGTAATTGGATGTGAACTCTTTAGGTTGGCTTGATTGGTGAGTTCAGCATGTTCTGGTTTCTTGGAAAGTTGGAACAGACTTCAGAACGTGTTCCAAGTGTGCCAAGAACATAGTAGGTACGAACAAAATGACAGAGAAAGGTACAGAATGAAAAATTGACATAATCTGGTTCTGTACCGTTCAATTGAGGCCAAAGAGACAAAGGGAACATGTTCAGAAGTCACCAATCAAGTGCCACCGTAAAGTGGAATAGCTAAGTCAGTAGCGAATTGGATTGTCGTCTGCTAGGTGATTAATACCTAATACCTGTGCCTGTGTTTTCACCCTTTAATACCTAACAGCTATCTTAACTTATGTCTAATGTTGCATAATAAAACTAATTGGGTGAATTTTGTAACAGAATCTAACTAAATTAGGCTCAGATCATGGTCAGCTTTGTTAAATTTCCAGTACAAACTAAGCTAATTTTTTCATGAAAATTAATCATTCAACACATATTTTCCAGTCTTCATGTGTAAATTTACAGGCAAAATAGAAATTCTGGGTTGAAAATTGGCGTTGCATGTTAATGTTTGGAATAGTAGGGGAATTAGGCAATGAGTTTTGGTTCATTTTCCAATCAAATGTGACTTCTTTCTCTTGGACCTCAATACCAACACGTAGTTTACCGTTAGATAGTTGTTCTGTATGAAATGTTACTACTGAACCTTTTAGTAATGGTGGTAGCTTCATCTTCATTTCTTTACCATCTACATACACACTACCTATAATTATGTCAAAATACTTTAGTTTTCTCAGATACTGATAAAATTACTGTATATTTCCAAATATAATGCGCAAGTGTGTATAATGCGCACACCTTCCTTACCCTATCAAAATCTGGAAAAATCCATTTACCCGTATATAATGCACACCCCTTGTTGACGAAAACTTTGAGGTTGGAGAGGGCAGACACCAAAATAGTGAGTGATAACAAGGCAAGTTCCACATATCACCTCATCTAGACTAACATGAAAATTTTGTACAATATTTCGTTAATGCAGGCCTCATTTTTACTATTTATAATCTTTAAAGTCATTTTAAAATTAACCATCATTTGTTATTTTTTTCCCGTGACAATGAGTCAAAGCTGACAAGGTCACACGCGTATGAATCTCGATTCATAAGAACCGATAAATGATTGAGGTTCAACATGCGGTATTTCCGAAAGAAAAAAAAAATCAAAATTTATTTTACTGTGAAAAGTGCGCAACCCGTCTGTAAGCGACCCATTTTTGAGTTAAAAACTGTGCATTATATTCAAAAATACTAGGTATGCAGGTTTGGTTTATTTTTCATTTTGGTCCAAATATTATTTTTAAAAAAAGCCACCCAAAACAGCCATACAATTGCTCAGTTAGTTTGAATTGAAGATTGAGTTTGGCAATTACGTTCTGTTGGGTTGAATCTCCTTCAAGAAATATTCTAATACCCGTACAGCTGCTTTCCTTGGTTGTCAGCTGTGTTAAATTTCTCTAAAGTTATGAATTCAGATTCAACAGTAATTGTATCCACCTAACAATATACTTACTGATTCTTTTAGAGTAAATTATACTTTTTCATATCTAGTTACAATTCAAACCCACAAAAAAAAAGTGATGCCACTACCAGTGCTTCAGAGGGTCTGTCTGTGTCAGCTTCCACCCCCTAATTCCTAATTATGGACTATACCTACCATTTGTATTGACAAATATAGCACCTTGTCTTTCTAAACTATCCATATCTTCTTTATTACCAGCTAAACCAATACCATCAGTGAATGATTTCTCTCCTGTTTCTAAACATTTAAATGAGATCTGATCCCCAGGTGCATAACTGGGTATATTAGAATATATAACTGTTGTTAAACCTTTATCTGTTCTTGTTATTGTCTTCTCTTCATACCCACAATAATACCCTTCCTGATTACTTGTCCATTCTGAAACATATCAACAATATTATTTTAAGGCCAGCACACATTTACTGAGTTTTTGACGTAATTTTTCTATTTATCGCCACTTTGTTGCCTAGATCCACTTTCTGTAGAGCTTGTGATACGTACATGGAATTCTATTGGTTGACCTTTACCTATGACAATTTATTGGGAACACCCGCACACCTGCCAACAAGGCATGTCAGGATCACTCCTGATTTGGTCATAGGGCTGTCATTGAGCAACCGCCATTGGCGGTTTTTTTTCGACTCCTATATATTCAGCGTCAGCCTTAAGACATTAGACTCAAGGACTATCCGCTTCATAGTTTCAAGCTATTATGAACTGCATCCAATACCTTGACTGCAATTCTTATGTAACCAAATACAGTGATTTGATTTGATTGTACTCCAGCGAATACAGCCAATCAGAGCCCTCAACATACAGACTGTCAACATTATTTCTGTTGAGGGCTTTAATTGGCTGTATTCAGTAACATACCATCCAATCAAATCACTGCATTTACAAACTTCTGTGATACAAGAAAGGTGGCTATTGCAGTCAAGATATTAGACACAGTTTGTAATTGATTGACATTGTCAAGATGAAGGACCATGGACTGAAAAATGAATGAAAAACATGGACATAACATAAGGGTATATATTCATCAGTGGATTTTTACTTAGTTGTATAGATTTATTGGATTGTAGAGGGATTCAGTTGTATAGTTATGACACCAGGTGATGAAAATGTACTCTTAAGGCCAAGTAATGAGAGCAAAAGTTCCCAAAAAGGTTAATTAAAGGAGACTTACGATAATGAGGTATGGTTGTAGTGGCTGTATAAGGTACACTCCAAACACTCCATGGACTGTCCTTATCATATCTCCCACAGACACGGAAAGAATAGGGTTTGTTAGTTTGTAGATGACGTACAATATGAGCTCTGTTAGGACCGGTGTAAACTGTATCAAATGTGCCTCTCATGTCATCATTAGATTTGATATTCCCATAAGATGATTGCAACCAAAATTCATTCAAATCTGCATCCTCATCAGTCTGAAAAGAAATGATCACTATCATTACTCCAGTCAGTATTATCCTTTTAAAAGTTGGCCTGGTGTTGCTTTCACCACCTTATACCTATCCTTGCGGTACAAAAATCTCCTTGAAAGGGGTAATTATGTTATAAACGCTAAATACTCTCCTCTAAACATTTTTTGGCAGTCAAATACCTCAGTTGATAGCAAGTTGGATTGTCGTCTGCTAAATGTTAAGTTGCTATGGTTCTAATCCCCCTCAAGGTCAGAAATATTCCAAATTCATGACCCCCAAGAGTCTTCCCAGTGTGAACTTTCAACCCCTATCACCAAATATACATAAAGCAGACACTGTTAAAGAAAATTTGCTGATAGTATCCCTTACCTCGCTCCATTCCACAAGAAGACTGCCTGGTCTTTCTATAACGTCTGTTATCTGTACAGCAGCACCAGCTATTACTTTTCCCTCCCTATGTATGATATCAGTTAACTGTGATTTGATATTGGGTAATAATTCTACTGATATACATGGTACAGCAGAACGATCTGGTATTTCTGGAACACTGAAATTTAAGAACTCATATGTAGGTATAAGAATATAAGGCGAGCTACAGCAAAGCATATAACTACACTTTTTTTATCGTGTATTTATTTAATCCAATTACCTGTTTTAAGAAGCAATATTTTTTAACGATCACTACCAACAAATTTTTATAAATGAAATGGAGTTTTATGTACTACTTTTCTGCACCTATTTGGGTTAAAGATGACAGGTAACACCATGCAGTGTGTAAGGAGGAAAATTTTGCCAGGATAGAAGTATAAGCCTTTTTTTTTAAATATCCAACTGTCAAGGGATCTTTAAACTGTTCTAAAACTGTCTTACCTATTCAATGAAGAGGTAAGTGGATTTTCTTTTAACTTGGTTATTTTATCTAAGTTTTTTTCAGGATCATTTTGTAAAATCAAGTTTCCTACCAAAAAAGAATAGATACATTTATAACAGAAATAAGCTAGGCTTCATTTTTCCATGTGAGTAAAAAATCTTAGCCAAGCTAATCCTGTTCTACCTGTCATTTCTTCATGTTTAGGGCCAGACATAATTTGTCACTCTTTGTGGATTGAAACAAAAGTTTGGCCAAATTTGGCTTTTGTCATGGTGAAAATTCTCAAGAGCTAGAGTGGATCGGAGCAACTCTCATAAAAAGTGGCATTATATGTCTGGCATTAAACGTCTCATATCCAATAATCTGTACATCGAGTCCAGTGAATGGGTAGGGCCAGATTTGTTGTGCTAAGCAAATCTATGGTCCGTAATTTTAGCTTTATCAATATCCATCGAATTTCAATTGATTCAGTTTAGCAAAACCTTCTAAAACTTGCATTTCAATCAGATTTGAAGCAGAAAAACTTAGCATTTTAGTTACAGAGAATCAACAAGTTTAAATAATTCAGGAAATTGAGGGTATCGAAGGTGACTCAATATATCAAAAAACGTCAAATTCAAAATCATATATAAACTATAAAGGAAAAATGAATCACACGATAACGTGCAAACAGTAGGTAAAAAAAGCAGTTTAGTGTTGTTCTTCATAGCGATAGCACCTTTCATGCTTTTTTTTTGCTTGATAAAGGGATTAGTCCCGAAACGTAGCTACATTTACTCTAATCGTATCGACTTTTTTCCTACTGTTTGCACGTTATCGTGTGATTTATTTTTCCTTTATTATCAGATAACTTGGTGTTTTATTTTTGTATATAAACTATATCAAGTTCGAATTGGTAGGTGTAAGTGATAGCCTTTAGTCATAATAACAAGACGTCATAAATATTCATATTAGGACAATGAGTCAGGCACATATTGCCCTGAATACCTTGTAAAACTGTCAATATGGTTTATTGATGTTTTAAGCCCTTAAGGCCAGAATATTGGACCCTCATTAACACCTTTTTTGTCAGTTTCATATCCAATTTTCTGGACTCTTTGGGATTTGAAGTATCATCAACCACAAGAGTCATTTTCTTTGATCTTTTAAGTAAGCTTTCAGCTCTCCTAAATATCATTTTTCAGTTTCCTACAAATTTACTGGATTTTTTTTTAAGCGTCATTGACAACAAGGGTTTAATTATGTTCTTTGATCTTTCCAGGAAGCTTTTGGTATTAGGTACAGTAATTAGCTTGGCTGACAATTTTGGGTAGGACTACTTCCTCATATTTGTAGGATGAGCAGTTAATACCCTAATAACCAAACCAACCCGAGGCATTATGCCTCAAATAAAGTGTAATTATGAAAATTTATTCAGCTAGAAAAAGTGAGGGATTTAGTACTCATTCACATGTGTGAATCACCCTATTAACTATCCATGACACTTTTAAGAATTACATTTTGACATATAGTCCTCCTACAATTAAATTCTAATATATAATACAGAGAACTGAAATTGAACTCTATGCAGTGACTATCAAGAAAAGGATTTACCTTCTTCCAAAATAGTCTTGGCATTTTCAATTCCATTTTCTATGACGTCTTCACATTGAGCTAATGGCGTGACTGCTTCCTTTTCAATTGTGTCTATTTCATCTAGTAATTTACACAGTTGTTTATCTAATACTTCATTGATATACTTCTTTAAACTTTCAAAATGTTTATTAAGTTTACTTCTGGATTCTCTGGCACTTTCTTGAACCTAAACGTGTAAAAGAAACAAAATTTGCATAAATGTATAAGGTAAGGATGCTGTATTGCCAATCAAAAAATATGTTTTTAGTTTTTTTTGCCTGGTTTGTAGCACAGACATTTAGGGCAATGGAATCTTTACATGATGTCATGGTTATGTAGAACAATTGGTGGTCGTGAGTTCTAATGTCAGTCGTGTAAAAATCTTGTGAAAGTCATCTTTCCTCATTATTCCAGTTGACCATGCTGTAAATTGGTATGTACAGATAATCTCGAAAAGATCAAAGTCAAGAGGTTTGTTCAAGAACCAACCAGTAGAAAGGATCCTTTGAATCTAGGTTGTTCTCAAAATATTGCAAGCTTTATGCCACAAACATATGTTGAAGAATGAAATTATTTATCTGGACAGTGGCATGAACACAATGCATATATGATTACAAACAGTTTTTAACATTGCACATGCCCGAAAATCTAACTATAAATAATAGAGGATTTTGCCCTGATTTGAAACAGATCTGAGCCAATAGCTAGCTTCATTCAATTCAAGATAGCATTAAAAGTCTACCGTTGTTGCAAGTATATTAATTGAACTACCAGTACTCCATTAAATGTATTGTTTAAGGCATATATACAATCAATAATCATTGAATTTTGATGGGACTCTTTGTAAATACATTGTGTGTATTTTATCAACTAGTACCGGTCTTATGTCATGTCTGGATAGGAAAATAGTGGATACCTCATGTTCTGTCAATAATATATGACACAAAATACATGTCATATTTATATAACAGAACTCAGATTATTCTACTGCATGATAACATATAGACAATTGAATATAAACTAGTGTTTGATTGCAGTCAAGCAGCCCAGTTAAAGGACAGGTTTGCCATTCATTTGACCAATCATATCTTAGTCTCAGAAACTGGATTTTTTAGCCAAGCCGTTCACAGCTCACCATTGAAATTTGAGCCTTCAAATCCATGTATGTCCAGAATTATCTGCGTTTGAAAGTTTAAAAGACAACTTGTCTTTTCTTGAGACTCAGACATATATAGAAAGGTATTAAATTAATGGTTGATCAGAATTCCCTTGAATATTAAAATACAGTTAGATTTACAGAGCCCACATGATCTATCAAAAACTGTATCATTCCATATGATAAACAGTGTTAGGATTGATCCATCAGGCATCTTTAATACAACTACCTAAAGGAGAAGTCCATTCAACCACACTAGTGCTTTCAACTGTTGCAAGTTATTCAGCACCTTATTTGACATAAACCTGTGACATTGTCATATAGAAACCAGCTTGAAATATAGTCAACCATACCATGTCATGTCATGTTCTGATATGCAGTCATCATTACAGTAACATTGTACCTTGTAGGGCATAAAATGCAAAAAATCACAAACTGATTCTACTGAACAATGCCTATACATGTAACTCAAAGTTAGACATTACCCTTTAAGGAAGTACAAGTACATTTGAAAGAGGTGGAAAGTAGACTCTTTATACAGGTTACAGATTGTGATGCTAATAATTGTATTCATTTTGAAGAGCTACACTACTAATATTTACATTTCAATGACAACTTCAACTTTGAGAGGGAAAATGGTAATATCTCTATATGCAAGTACTTATACATAAAATTCATAATTATTCATAACGGTGCTCCAATAAACCAACTTTTGTACCTTTTTCACAAAAATTTTGAATTATATCGAATGGGACAATCAATATGTCAGACTGAAATTTTTAGTTATAATAACTGCTTTGGATGCATTTCATTTAACTAATTGCATTTGAAAATATTCCCACATTGGATTTTCAAAACAGCTGTGAAAAGGCTTCTATGTTCAATTTGCAGTATAAATATTAGTGCTGTATCGCCAATCATACAACGATACAATACGTATTGTGATACAAAGGTCACGATACCATATATATCATGATATGAGGTAATGGGATCAAATTTTAACACTTTATCTTCACAGTTTCAATATATATTAATTTATTACATTATAACTGTGATATTTGGTAATATAGTTAATAGGAGTTGTTAACGTCCATTATCTTATGAAAACCTTCCGTCAATTTCTTGCGAAATTTGCGATTCCAATCGCCAACTCGTAAAAAATCAGCAATTTTTTTATTTGGATGGGAGGTATTGTCAAGTATAGATACAAGACATTGGGATATGATATGCGTATCATGGCCTGTAATATCATGATACATTGATTCACCAATATATGGTGCCAGCACTAATAAACCTTAAACATAATTTATATCTATATATACCTGTTGTTTCAATTCCTTCAAATTATCTAATAAATCTGCCAGCTGTAATTTCTGATGTTGAGCTGAATCCAGTATATCTGTTATACTTGTCAGCAATTCCTGAGTCATTTCACCATTTGATGTCTGCAAAATACATTATTCAAAATATATACACTGTACATCTTATATATATTTTTTGTGCAGATTCAGATTAAAATTTTCACACAATTATGTTAATAGGGACCTTCTTGAGCATGCGACTATCATTTTTAAAAAGCACCTTGATGTACATAGAATAAATAGCATCAGGATACATATCAGGGTTCAATTTCAATTGAAAAATTTTATTAGCAATTCAAAAATATTCAGAAGCAATTTAAAATGTTCTAGTTCATACTTCAGATCAGTCTTGCCAATGACATTAATTAAGATTATAGACAGTGGTCGCAATTTTCTTGATTAGGAAAAAATAAACACGAAAGATATTTGATTTGATTTGCAGATTGTCATGATAAAATTTTAATTTTGGCTTATCATAGGAAATATTGGATCCCAAAAGGGGTCATTTTGACTCGCAAACTTGTGATCAGATGATAACGTTTAAACCCTGATTGAACCCCTATATATATCAATACATCAATTTGTACCCACTCAAGGTAATTGTGACAAATAGAGTCATTCTCCAGTTCTCCCTGCCCCACAACGACTCTGTTTGCTACAATTACCAGTATATGTACCTGATACTACTTTAGTAGAGCAGTAAATGAATTTTGACTGAAATACAATCTTTAAACATATGTTTTGATATAAAACTCTTGAATCATCACCATCTGTTCAATATTATATATAATTCATAAGAAATGTGTAAATGATAACATTAACATGCAATACAGATATAACTTGCCATCATAATCATCCTAAGAGCAGTATAATCGAAAGTTGAAGTTCCATTAGTGAATGTCAAGGTGACAGTAAGCTGTTGACTATTTATCAACAATAAATTACTAGTTATCTACAGATATACAGTCATAAAAATTCTTTTAAAGGGACAGATGCGCCATTTTAGGGGGTTGTTTTTGGTCTTGAATATATGTAAATAGTATTCAGAAGTACTAGAAATGAACGAAAATTGTATAATTCCTTTAAAATTTTACTCATTATTTCTATATGTCTTTTCAATATACCACAGAGTATCTTAAATTGATGAGTCGTCATTTTAACATTCAAACACAGATAATTCTGGACATATATTGATTTGAAGACTCAAATTTTAACGGTGAGCCTTGAACACTACCGATTGGCTAAGGTACAAATTTCCTGGCTAAATTTCTAAGCTAAGGTATGAGGGGTAAAAAAAAATGGCGCACCTGTCTCTTTAAACTTTGAAGATAAGATGTCAATTTTCGTCCAATAATCTATATCACAATATGTGGATGTACTTCCAAATTACCCCTTTGTTGAATTGCAGGATATTCATTTTGAAAATGTTATGGATAGGTGAAACTTGCTTCGATCATTTTGTAATGCTCGGGGTACATGAGTTTATTTTTTTGCCTGATTGCAATGAATTTTAAAATTCGCTTTGTGCTCGCTCACTTCAAAGAACATTCGTATGTTTGTATAGTTAGTGATAATTTTGAAATCCTCAAATAAATTGTTCTAATTGCATTATCTAGTGTGAAACAAATTATCAATACCAGTAATGTCACACTGTCTCATGCCGTCACCTAAGAATTATAAAAAAAGAGCTCAATCAGTCTATAATTATAGAATTTACAACAGCCATAAAATTTGAGTTTTTGTGATTGAACTGGGTCTACTTTCCTATAATTATGTCAAGACGGAATCTTACAGTAAATTATAGTACCATGTATTATTAAATAAAAATGACTAGATCAATTTAAAGTTAATTTCTGATTACATCACAATAGTATTTGATGTTTTCAAATTCAAGAGCCCTTATCCCCTTTTTTAAGTTTATTTCCCTTTAGGCTGTGGGCAATTTCATACTTGAATAATTCCTTTATTATAACCAGTTTTAGTTTGTTTTAAAAAACAAAGTATTTTATTTGGCCATAGTTATTGAAAAATTGTTGTTTTTTTAAATATCAAAGTTACTTTGAATAAAGGTAACTGCTCAATAAAGGTATATTTGTTTTCAATTATTCATTCAAAAAAAAAAAACACACAAACACTCAAGGCATATAACCTTTATCTGGTCTCTGAATTGAAAAATATTGTTAAAGAATTGTAAAAGAGGTTTTCTAAATTTTTTATGTGTATGGGGGACACTGATAGCTTCAATTTGCAACATTCTAATTGTCAAGCCAATGTCTGTGTTTCCTGCAATCCTGCAGTGTCTCCGATACATGAAATTTTTTTAAGAAAAAAACTTTTTACAATCCCTTTAATTAAATACCGGAACACAATTTGGTATACTACTCCTAAGTTTTATTACACACGACGTTTCAACAATCTACATTGTCATCTTCAGGTGAAGTGAGGAAATACGTCGTGTGTAATAAAACTAAGGAGTAGTATACCATAAAATTGTGTTCCGTTCTTTAATGTGATCTCTACCCCTAAATGTCGCTAAAGGATTAATCCCTTTAATATATGCCACCTACAATTTTATACTCTGAAAAAATTATTGGTATTAATATTAATATATAGACAGCAGTCTAAATACATTCACTATTAAAGAAGTAAGAAATAAATGCTTATTTCCACAAGGATTCTCCAATTATCATGATCACTTTTAAAACTTGCCATAATTAACAGTTCATTAACACCTTCATTAATTTTCTAATTAAAAACAGTGTCACTTTAAAACATTAATCTGTAAAGCTCCATTATCTTTTTAATGCAGATCTACATCTCAACTTTATATCTATGATCTAATGAAATCTTATTAACTCAATGATGGGTGATCTTGATCTCATTTGAAAACAAAACCCTTCATCACAAATCAGGGGTCATAAAGCCTAAAGGGGTTCAAATTAGAAATCAGGAAATCTCTATCTGGTCAAAAGGCCAATTGATAATGATCTAAATAATATGTTATAGTGTAAACTTGCTGACACTCAGTGTGGACTGTAATCATATAAATCAATATTATCAAAAACATCCTGCTTGGTGAATACGTTTTTCAATGCTATTCTGTTGTAATTAGATGGAATTGAAGCATTAATGTTTGTATTTCAAATATGGAAAATTGAAATAATTAGTACCTTAGATTAGTCTGAGGGACATGGATGTCAACAATATAATTGGTAATGGATTCCAACAATATAATTGGTAAGAAAAATGTATTATGTATTCATTTATGAATGCAGAAAATCATTGATAATTGATTCATTCTGCATGCAAGTCTGATAAAGAATATGAATAAGAATATAAGTTTCCGAAAAGTTAGTCCTTATAGGTCTTACTGATAAGACTTACAATGACTGCATTGAATAGAAACACACTTCCCTCCCAGAAATTTTTAACTAAAATGCCTCTATTTCTATCAATGTAAAATCATTCTAGGATTTAAACAACAGCAATATATATAATATCTAAGAATATAAAAATATTTTTGGTAAAATTCAATGCACAAAGATTGTAGGCCTACATAGCCAACTATGCATATTTCTATGAGTTGGCTTGTATAAAACTTGGACAATATGTTCCAGATTAGCAAAGATCAATTTACTGGCTAATCATCAAATTTTCTGCTCTCTTTGTTAAAGTTTGTTTATAAAATTGCTACAACAAAACAAGGGGGATTGAAATTTACACTAAATACTCAAGAATAAGAAGATAACAGACAAAAGCATTATCTAATGGTTCAGTTATTCACATACAAACAATTTACAGATAAATGACAGTATGTGTCAATTACACGTGCCATTATTAGCTGGAGACTATTGTTAGTTAAATGACCTAACACCGGTCAAAAGGTTGTGATCTAAAACTTTTCAAACGCTTAAAGATTTACCTTTCAAGTCCTCAGGAAGCCGCCATAGGGTTGTTTGTTTCGAGAAAGATGTGTATCGTGGCATAATTATCCAGACATGTTTCAATGTGCTTTAGACGTATGTCTGGTAAATCAAGAATTTCATACGAGATAGGTTTTGAACCAATCAAACAGTGCCGGGGTATATCGAGAATTCCCGTTATCTAAATCGTGAAACTCCGTGATATATTGCAGACGAGAAAAGCTTTGACAACAGTATACACAGTGAACGTATGATGTCGAGCACTGTTATAATCGACTAACGGTAGAGATATTGATCATTTTCCCAGTAAATATTGCCCGGAGTATATGATAAAGCATTGTGCAGTAAGTATTGATGTATTAATTTGTATTTCTTTGTTACACTTGGTTGCAATTGTCCACTGGAATAAGGTGATGTTTTGTTGTTATTGACATTTGCTTAGAAGCCTTCTAAGGTCTAGTTGTTATTTCATTATTTTATGTGTCATATCAACTGATACTCAGGAGTATTTATGAGGACATGGATAGTATTGGATAATTGATGGAACTTGCATGAAATGACAATTTTCTGTTGGAAAACATTAAGCCGTCTCTGAATAGAATCATATGCTTCAAATCTAGAACTTACAGTAAGACTTATGAAATCATATTTTTAGTGTATTATTGGGGCTTATAAGAGTCAGCAAGTGCAGATTACGTTCTAGGATTTGTCTTTATATTTTATTAGTCTATTTCTATAAAAACTATAATTTATTTGCGATGAATTTGGCTGATTTTCTAATTCATTTTATCAGTTTATCCTGACAAGTTGCAAAGAGGTGGGACAGACCTACTGGTATGATAGATATTGTAAATGAAAAATGACAGATTGAATATGAAGTATTATTTCAAATAGTATCCATTATTTTTGTCCACTACTTGATGCTTTTCATTGCGTAAATTGTCTATGGACAAATGTGATTGTAAATGATTTGCATGACTTAAGAACTATTTTTTTTAGACGTTTTTGATAATGAATATTTTGCATACTGGCCCTTTAATATTAGAGATGATAATCCAAACTGGCTTAAAGTCCAATATCAGAATCTAAGATTATAAAATCAGATTTGATTACGTAATTGAAAGCTAAGCTGCTTGACCTTAAAATTAATCTTGATATATCTTATTATATTTCTAATATTTTGTAATAGACTTATTTTATTATCAATATTGCGATTTATTTCTTATTTCTGTGGTCCTATATTTTCTATATATAAAACAATGAAAGCTTAGAAAGGACATTAAAGTTTATTGAATTAAAATCTAAACATAGGCTTATATTGAATTCAGAAACACACTTAAATCTTCTTTCATAGACTACCTCAAACCACATTTTTTTCTTTTTTTTTTCTTTCTTTTGAAATGAAAGAGACTTTATCCTTTTAAGTTCAGTTTTTACCCAAATAATACCTAGGATTATTTACATCTAATTGCTTTGTTTACTGTTTGTGACTTCATTTTACATGTCGATTCATCTTTTTTTCTATTTGAATACAGAAACATGACAATTTAAAGCCAGCATGTTATCTATTTTTTCAAGCTAAGTTTTTTTACACCATTGACAAAAATGCAAACTATATGTTTTATGAACAATCCTTCTAATCAATCTATTGGGATGATAAGGTTTTTCTCTGACAAAAAAATAATCTTGAAAAAAATGAACGTAGTTGATGATGTTTTTTTTTTTCAATTATCATTTCTGTGATCACCATGTAAGCTATCTTTAGCTTTACAATCCACATGATACGCAATGTCAACAAAATAGTGCTATAAATTATCTTTCCTAAATTTCCTTCACTGTGTTGTTTATTAAGGAAATGTCATTAGTGTTCCATTTTTCTCTGAGACCTTGTACAGATGATTTTACCTAGAACTGAAAATGGTTTTGTTGACAGCTGAGAATCTATAAAGACAATATCTAATATTTTTTCGTGACAGAAAATTCAATAAAATCAAATCTATTTTATAGATTCAAATTATTCTATAGGCCTATTATGTTATGTGTAAATCTCATGCAAAGTTTTATTTTTTGTTGTTGACTGACAAATATGTCTCTATACACCACTTATTTATTATGAGACTTTATATTGATAAGCCCTGACCTCATATTGCCTTAGAAGTAATATTTTGATATGGTTGACTGGACAGGGGAGTCCTACTTTTCAGGGTAGATGCAACAGCTGTTTAGGGAAAAATAGAAAATGAGGGAAGATTTATAAAGGGGCATATGGTGTGTCTCGTGGATATCATCTATTCATAATGCTGATTCTTTCCTCAGAGGCAGTTCTTTGTTAGATTTAAGGCATAGTTTCTATATTGGGATGTGTGGTGTTGGATATGTATTTGAGGTTTCAATGTTTTTTTAGAATATTTTAACTTGGCCACTTTGAATTGTTTGATTGTTTGAATTTCTTTTTAGGCTATGGGATTCTAAATTTAGCTGGTATAGATCTTATTGATCTTAACAGATATAAAATAACTGTTTGTCCTCTAAGGTCATGTTTTAAACTGACTCATTTGTGAATTTTGTAGGATATGATAAACTGGTTAGTAGATGTATATCAGTAAAGAAACTCATCAGTCAACCTCTGACCAAGTGATAGTATATTTACATGTCTACATGAGTTGGGATTAACATAGATTTGTTGGGAGTAATACATCTTCTTTGTGAGAATTAATTGTGATTTCCTATGGCAAGCGGACTTCAACCAGCTCATATTGTGGGACCAGGATCTGTACCGACAAACAAAGGACAACATGGCAATTCATCATCTGTGGGATGTCTTCCATTTCCTTCCCACAGTCGCCAACATTCAGATAATTACCCCGATGTTGTAGATAATGAAACTTATCTCCAACGTCCATTTTCAGAGAGTTCTAATGATGTAAGTGCGAATGCAGGACCTTCACAACAAATGCCAAGTTCAAGTCAAATTCCTGAAAATGGACACAGTGAAACTGTCCCTGGTTACCGAGCGCCAGGGACTTATGTACAGCGTGTTCCAGACAATGGAAGTGAACAAATATCTCCCGTGTCGGATCAAGCTCCATACGCTGATGAACAGAATGATGGTATGCAAGGGAGGCCAACCCCTGTGCCATTACCTACTTATAGACAAATTCAAACTCGTGATATTAATGTTGGGATTTCAACACGCTTAGACCAACGTGCGGATGCTCTTCCAGACTTGTTAAATTCACACGTTCCACAACCCCCTCGTCAAGTAGTGTTACCTCCACATAGACCTACAGTCTCCCGTAATAATAGGCGAACACGAAACACTGAGACTCAGACACAATCTCAACACAGAACAAGGGAGGCTCAATCTAGGACGCGGCATGGACGCAGGATGCGTACCCGCTCAACAAGTTCCTCTCAGGTGGAGGATCCTGTGTGTAAGGCTCCTTGTGTACAATGTTTCGTTAAAGTGACATCATTTCGATGGGTTCTTGTTGTGCTATCACTTTTAGGAGTATGCTGTGTGGTAACAGGAATCGTATTAGCTGCCTTACATGCTGCTGGCAACAGTTTTCTCTTCCTGGCAATAATGTTTATAGGTAAGTCTATGATTTTTTCTCTGAATTTTAACAAATACCTGATAATCAAACCATACATATACTAATATTGATTTAGTTTTCATTATAAATTTCATAAGAAACATGATATACAAGGTATCTATTTATATAAGCGTATCAACTGATTCAACTAATATAACATTATTTTCTGATGCTCTTAAAACAAATATAAGCTTCAGTACAAAAACTGGGATGAGTTAATATCAATATCAAAATACACAAATATAGAAAGATAGAAAATCTTATAATTGTACACATACTTAATCATATAGAACGACATATAATGTTACAGGACACAGTCTGCATTTATTGCTTTTAATTTGTTATGTCATTCTGCTTAAAATAGCTGAATTTAAGTGCCATTAATATGAAGGTGGGTTTCATAGCAGAAACATTTTAATGGTATAAATTGTAAACTTTCAAATCAAACACTTAGACTTTTGTTTTTCATAGATTTATTTTCTTTCATGTCTCATTTACATTCACAATTAGTCATTCCTAGAGATAAATGATTTACAAGAAAATAGAACAAGACACAAACTAATGAGCTGAAGAAATGTCATGTCATTGTTTGAAGAATAAAAGAAGACTGACAAAAGTGGTTTACCCTGTTTTAAAGTTAAAATTTTAAGACATAAATCCTACATTCTGATAAGTTTTAGCATAAAATGTCCTACTTCATTTTATAATATTGTGAAAAAAATCATTTTTCCTCAGGGCAAACATGACTGAGCAATTTATTATTAGGTTTAATACATAATATGACATATTCTGTAAAAATATATAATTTGTATTTATCGCTTAAGCATAAATATGCATACATGAAAAATCTTTGTCTACTAATGCACCCAGATAAACTGTTAAAGTTTTTATATTTTATGTCCTCGATTTAATACACTTCTACAGGTAATTAATCAGACAATCTTAGTTCATAAGAAAAAAGGCTTGCCCAAATGACAGAAATGACATTGTTCAGACACATCCAAAATAGAAAGAAAAAATCTATTTATTGGCTTGTTTAATATTGTGAAAAATGTTCAAACGGAACTCTTGTTTTGACTTCTCATATTTTCTCAGTATCTATGTCAATATTGGCTGAATTCTTACTTTAAGTCCATAAACAAACAGTGATTTGCCATTTCCAATCTATATAGCTTACTTCTAACTTTGTCTATATTTGAGACCTAGATCAATAAGAAATCTTAGCTTACGTCTTTTTACAAACAAGCATTTGTTTGGTCTTAATTGCAGACCAATATTGTAAGTTTTATGTGATCTTTTATGTTCCCTCAAAATAATGCAATTAGTGAGGTTCTATAGCATGGTCGGTTAGAGCGTTAGTTCTTTATGTGATGTCATTTGCTTGGTTACCTTGAGTAAATGACGGCTGTTGGTTTCGATCTTGATCGATGTGTGAAAGTTCGATGAATTTAAATAAGTCATCTTCACTTATAATTCCAGTTGACCCAGCTATAAATGGGTTTTGGATAATCCGAGAAAGATCAACGCCTAGATATTTGGACTGGTAGAAAGGATTTTTAACTGTGAACTTAGTTGTTATCCTTATAAAAATAGTTTCTTTCTTAATGGTTCTGGAAGGGTATATATGAAATATTGTTATATAATAGCAAGAAATGGGTGGATTGCCAAATGTAATGTAAACCTATGAAAAAAAGGATCTTGTTGTGTAATAGATATTTTGATATGAAGTCTCATTATTCAAGTTCAACAGATCATGAAGTAACTGACAGAAGAAAGTATATCTGATGTCAAATTAAACTAACCCAACCCAACCCACTATTGACAGTTAATTAGTATTCAATAACATAAGCTCAAATTGTGGTAATTGCACTGGGCTCTAATAAAAAACAATTTTCAGTTGCCAGTCCTGTAACAATGTCAAGCTGTTACGAACTACTTCTTATACCTTGGCTACAATAGCCACTATGCTTGAATCACAGAATGCAGCGATTTTCTTGGATTGTACACAGAAAGCCATAATGTTTACTGTCTTTTTGTTGAGGGCTTTAATTGACTGTATTCGTACAATCCAATCAAATCACTGCATTTACCTCTGTAATACAAGAAAGATGTCTAGGTGACTCAAGGTATAAAATGAATTTCGTATTAGCTTGACATTATGAAGATAGTTGGCAGTATGTTTGGATCGACTTTGCCATACTGCGAGTGATAGGAAAATCAAATCAAAATGGGATTCTCATAGTTATAAGTCCAGTTGCTTACAGAAAGAATGATCACAATTCATAAGGCTAAGCCAACTCCATAGTCACTGACTTGAACAACTCAGGTTGACAACTAGATCTTTTTATGACTGGTAAGTAGCAGGAACTTGGCTTATACATCTTTCTCATGTTCCATGTAATTTAGATTCATGTCATTGACAGATCTAGATGTATGATCAATATGTCTGATAAATTAGTGATCATAAAATAGCAGGAAAACAATTATTCTTCACAAAATTACTTTTGTCACATTAATTGCTAATTATAATACAGCCATCAATAAATTTATGCTAAGCATTTATAATCAGAATATATTTAATGACCCATCTATAATAATGCATACAAATTACAATAATAGCCCAAACATCTTCCATATATTAAAGAGTGACCTTGCCCCAAGAACAAAAGTATTCTTGAAATTTACATAAAACATTTGGTTAGGAAAAAAATTATTGTTTGTCTGAGCCAATAACTGTGTTTCCACTGAGGAAACAATCATGACTAGCTTTAAGCTAGCTTTTTGTGTTACCAGTGTTCAAATTGCCAAACTGTTATTATTCAGGAATCGAAAACCACTTTTATCCGTCAGCAATTTATCAAGGGCCAAATGAAAGCTGATTGAATGCTAGCTTTCTCTTTACTCAACTTTGGAAACACAAAAGTCAGCTTTATCTCATTCGGCAATAGGGGGTGTACTGCTCTTTTCTTTAATAGAAACTAAACCAACTTTTGGACTTTCATTGTTGTAAATAACTTTGCATACATCCCAGTTAAATTGACAGCTATACAGAGGAGTAAAATTGCATTTTTTTTTCTTTTTGATTGAATATTTGTAAGTTGAAACTGCTTTGTTAACTTTAAACTGCTTAAAGCCAGCTTTACTTTGCAGTGGAAACAAGGTTATAGTTTGTTATTCCCAAGTGAAGGTTACATTTCATTGCTAAATTGTTGGTATTTGGGTTTGAATAATTGGACTTACATATCAAAGAGAATTTGATTAGATAGATGTAATAAGGCAATAAATAAACATAATAGCCTGGGTCTTCATTATTTTCTTAAACATGGTCAGAGTAGGGTCATTTGGTAGACTTAATTAGAGCTGTGAATAAAAAAACGTGATATATTTATGTATAAAGAAGACAAGTAAATGTCAAGTCATATATTCAAGTCACACTTTGTTTAATGATAAATTTGTATTAAAATAGCGAGGAAGGGTTGTGCCAAGTAAGCATATGCTGCATATATTTGAGCTTAGACCTCATGCAATAATGTATGTACTAAAAGTACCATGGAATCCCTTATGGGTTTGAATTGAACCATCACAAAGGTGACATAAGTATTGATATTATGAACTTGTCGAACCCTCCTGGATTCTAATACACTTTGAACTTCATAGTTTCTAATAGATTTTAAAACCATCACAAAGGTGATATGCTTGAGGTGTTTAATGTTATAGTCTTTGACCCTTCACTAAAGTGAAATGAGATGTGTAAAGAGAAATTTATGCATTGTCACATGGAATTAATTGTAGGCATTTACACAGGCACAGGTTGGGTTATTATTCTGGTTCAAACTAAATACTAGGAGTATAAAAAATTAAATCAAACAGTCAATGAGGCTGTAGAGCTAATCATAACATGGGGAAGCCATTGATTTGCTTTGCTGATTATAAGGAATTATAAGTCTACTTGCAGCCTGGTCCTTCTATTGATTGGAAGTATTTTTTAATTATTTATTCCTTCCATTCATTCAGATCATTAATCAAGATTATACGCTCATCCACATAGTTGGTCAATGTATATGTATTGGAAATTACAATCTTCCCCAGTCTCACATCTGCCATCTGCACAATGGTCAAGGTATTGCAGACTGTTTTACACCTTGACTGCTATAGCCACCTTTCTTGTAGTACCATGGAATGCAACATTTTGATCGGATTGTCAGTTATCGTCATCCTTTTATTGTGATACATATTGTATCGTTATCATTGTATTGTGATACATATTGTATCGTGATCCTTATATCACGATACATATTGTATCGTGATCCTTATATCAGGATATATCTTGTATCATGATCCTTATATCAGGATATTGTATCTTAATCCTTATGTCGTGATACATATGTCGTGTATCGTGATCCTTATATCATGATACACATTGCATCGTCATACTTATATCTTCATACATATTGCATCGTCATCCTTATATCGTGATCCATTTCATATCGTCATCCTTATATCGTGATACATATCATATTGTGATCCTTATTTTATCACCACCCCTATATTGTTATATAGATCATATCGTGACATGATGTGCAATACCCAGCACTAAAGTATAGAAATATCACGAAAGAAAGATGTAGATCTGTATTTCAATCAGAATGTTCTAACATGTTATGAGGATTATTATTGTAATTAATGGAAATAGACCTATTAACATAGAATTAGCAGGTAGTCTTCAGGCATATTATTGATTGGTAATAAATAATTTACTTTTATCACACCTGCTATATAATAGAATAATTTATTACATATACTTTCACAATATTTATTATAATATTTATTCACTTTGATAAACACCATTAATATTCTTGAAATCTGATAAATGATGAAGAAATTACAGTATTAAATGTTCACTCTAGCACAAATGCAGAAGTCTATGATAGTAATGCCTTGTAAGGTATTTAAAACAGTAATGAGTCTGGTTTTCCCAGCAAAGGTAGAGATAGTGCCTTCAGCTATTTCAACATGGTGTCTCTTTGTCTTTGGCATGGAAGAGTATAAAAAAGAGTGTCTAGTCATAGGATTTGACAGTGAACAGGAACCCCATGTGCTATGTATGTCAAAGATCTTTGGACAGTAAGAAATAGAAAAAGACCAGGCTAAGAAAACAAAATTGCCTCAGTGCATGGCATTGCCAGTCTTAATTAAGAGAATTACAAGGATATTAGACTCCATTTTATTTCAACTAATTCGATGACCCGAAAGGAAAAATGATTTCATATAATCGTACATATAACATACATCTACTCAATATTGATTTATTGGTCAGTACAATATGTACATGATGCCTTGACTTGAAATAATAGCCTTGAATCCTTACTGGTTCAAATCACTTCCATGCTATCATTATTTTGAGTGCGTTAATTAGCAATCAATTTTGATATCAATTGCAGTAATCAAATCAGTCATGCACACAGTTTCTTCATCAATAATTGATGACTAGTTGTAGTCTTGTATAAGCTCACTAATGGAAATTGTGAAGTATTCATCATATAATTGCATGTACAATAGATTCTTAATGTTCAACAAACAAATAACAATATGTTTTTATGCATGTGTGTTAAGATCCCTAGTGTGCTACATGCTGTGCACATAACAGATCCCTGAAGTTGAAAATCGAGAAGGTGAATGTTGTTGTAATGACAAATTTTCTTCATTGTACACTGCCTGGTGTTGCCCATCTTTATTAGGCTAAGTAGGTTCAGAAACGCAGGATGTTAGACCATTTCATTTTGGCAAAGTATAAGATCTAGGACATCTTCATAATGCCAAGCTGTTACCTTGACAGTTTGTAAGTGCAGCGATTTGATTGGATCATACTCTAGCGAATACAGCCCATCAGAGACCTTGGCAGAAAGACTGTTACAGTTTGGTGTAATCTTGGGCTCTGATTGGTTGTATACAGCATACAATCCAATCAAATTGCTACATTTGCATTTTTCTTAACTTTTCATATTTCATTTGTTTGACATTCAAACCATGTCACCTTATAAATTGTGAAATATACAAAATGAATGAACGAAGAGAAATATGTTTCCTGTTACCAACTACTAAAGTCATGTTGTACTTGAACTTCAGGAAACATTACATCTTGAGATGTAAAATACTGAAATTTGACCTTCAAGTCATAAACTATAACCAGTGGAGACCCCAGGCTCCTAAGACTTGAGGTACAAATAGGGGGCAGATTTACTTAATGGAGGACAACTGTCAAGGTTGAACTGTCAAGGTTGATATTCAAAATGCAGCACCTCTGTGAAAGCACATAGTCAGAAACCTCCTATGGAGCATCTGCTTTTTTTTATATAGCTATACGTCCTACTTTTCTGCACTATGTGGGCTCATGAAGACGGACAGGGTGCAATGAGGGAAATTTAGCCAGGACAGAAGCATTAGCCTGCTCTTCCAACTGTCGAGGGATCTTTTAATGTGCACAGCCTATGGCACACAAGGCCTTGGTTAATTGTCCTATCTGAACTACTAGAAGCTTTTTCCATGT